GTCTGTTTGCTGGGTGAATCAATGCGAGCCTGCACTCCTTGGCAGTCTAGCTTCTTGGGCCCGCTCCTGGCTGGGACACCTGCCAGCTGCCCAGCCCACCTGGCACCATCTGCGCTGATGGCAAAGCTATCCAGCAGTCTGCACGCAGAGCCCCACTGCCCCATACAGGGTGGTGCTCCCTTCCCGGACAGTGCCCTGTGTGGGGAAGGAGCAGGTCAGGGAGGGCCAGTGGGCGGCCCTGGGGAAAAGACGGAGCCTGAGTCTGGCAGGAGCCCCCAGGGCTGCAACATTGCCCAATGGCACCAGTGGCACCGTGTTTCTCCCCCATTGATCTTTACCCCAACCTGACTCCCCTGCCTCCCTCAAGGAACCTTTCTCTTGAGCCCAGTTCTGTCATTTGTACCCCCAATGACCTCCCCCCTGCATCTTCTTTAGTACCGAGATTGAGTTACATCCCCAGCCCTATTCATTTATTTGGACAGTGTGGCTCATGAATTTGCCCAGACTGGCCTTAAACTCTTCTGCTTCAGCCTCCCATGTGTGGGGAATTCTCAATGACTTCTAAAACCTAGCTTGGGAACTGGCCCTCCCCAGCTCCTGCCTCCCCACCGCCTGTGCAGATCCTTCCTCAGGGCCGTGAAATCTGGTAGACCAATGGCTGAATCTCGGCCCTAGTGCCCTCCAGCTGTGATCCTGCACAAGAGCATTCACTTCTCTGAACCTCTGAGCCATCGTCTGTACAGTGAGGCCGGCTGTACTCCCAGCCCCTGGACTCCTGGGTGGATTAAATGCAAGCATTTGTGTGGAAGGCCCAACACAGAGCCTGGCCCAGGATAGTCACTGTGGGGGTGGGCTTGGCCGCTTTGATGTCTGTACTTGCTGTGTTCTTGGGGACAAGGTGCTCCAGGTCCTACCGCTCACCACCCTCCCACCCTGTCTTGCTGCTTCGTCTATCCTGTGTCTCTCTTTCCAACTTCAGAACGGAAGCCCTTTCTCCCAGGCAAGTAGGAAAGTACGCATGCTTTATGATCTTCTCCCTACAAGGGTGTGAGCTGCTTCTCTGAAATACCCACTACTTGTCCTGACTACATTTTAAGGTATGTGTGGTCATACCTTCCCTCAGAGAAGCATGGGCTGGGAAGGTGGTCAAGCCCTTCCAAGTAGTGTGTGGGCTAGGCTTGGCTCACGGGCCAGGCGGACCCACGGGCACCCCCACTGTCTGGGTGGTAATCGGGCAGCTGTCACACTGAGATGTTAATGAGGAGAGAAGGCTGAGGCCTGGAATCACTTGGTGTTGTTTGTGTCTAGGTGTCCCCCCAAAGCCTCAGGCAGTCTTGGGGCAGCTTCCTGGAGGTTGTGATTATTGTGGGTGTGGATGCTGCACCTGCCCTGGGGCAGGTAATTTGCATTTCAATGTAAGGAGGAAAGAGAAGTTAGCTGCTTGAGCTGCTGCTACTCCTCTTTTTGTGCTCTTGCTGTTTGCTGCCACCATGAAAGGTTGTCCTCTGTCATGTGCCACTCTGCCTTGGAGCCAGCTGAGTATGGACTGAAACCTTCAGTAACTGTGAGCTAAATAAACCTTTCCTTCCTTCACTTTGAGTGTCGGGTATTTGTCCCAGCAACGAGAGAATAATTAAGACACTTAGATAACACAAGCAAGCTTTTGATACCAAGTTCAAGGTCTTATCCGCCTAAAGTCTGGGTCTCCTCTGCTTCTCAGTGTTTTGCCCTGCACAGCATTCAACTGTCAGGCGCATGCGCATGGGCCTGGGCCTGGATCTCTGTGTGCAGCTGGTTCAGGGACAGTCCCGGCAGGGCCTTAATGGCTTTTTCTAACAGCTTCCCTTTCATACATCAGTGGATCAGTGGCCAAGGACAGTTTTCAGCCTATGGAGGTTTATAAACTGTTTACCACCTACAAATGTGGTTACCTTTCCTCATTGGCCACTCCATGACCCCGTAAGAGCCAGCCTCAGAAAGAGGCCCCCACGGAAGCAGCCTGTTGGTGATGCCGCACACGGATCCAGGGCGGGGGCATCTGCCCATGGAAGGGAAGAGAAGCCTGCAGGTCAAGAAGCAGGGCAAAGCTGGGGCACGAGACAGTGGCAGGTTGGCCCCAGTCCTTACTCTTCACTAGTGTCCTCCTAAGATCCGTAAGTCTTCAGCTTGGGCTCTGCGTCTGACTCATGCTCTTCAAATGTTGGCTGCTTGATGAGTGTAGTGAGGAATTACCTCATTCCCACTTCATGCCCAGAGACGGGAGAACTGTGGGCCTGGCCTGAGCCTTCATGCAGCCTCTTCTACATCAGCCCAACATGGGAGGGTGTGGTGGTGGGCGCGGTGGAGTGGCCTAGGACCACACAGCCCAGTTAGGACACTGGCCCAGACGCTTTGCCTGGAGCGCCCTTTGCGTATGCGGCTGCTCCACTCGGACCACGGGCAGCGCAGAGGGAATGTGCTTCCTGCTCCAGCCTGGCTGAATTTGAGGTTCTGTGGCTGCCTGCGAGTGAGGGGAGTGGCAGGCGGCAGTTACTCTGGGAGTTGGTTAGAGCCGGTCAACAGGGCTGGGGACTGTTGTGCCCTCACAGTGCAGGGCGGGGTGAGGGAGAGGACTGGTCTCAAGTTGTTCAACCAGAAGTGGACCTGGGAAAGCCTGAGAGAGTGTCTTCTCCCCATGTGACTCTCCTTAGGCACACTCTACATCATCGATCACTTTCCTCCGTGGCCCCATGATGTCCTTGATCAGAAAATTTGGGACACAACTGAGTTACATGATGTTACAGTACAAGTTCTCATATGTCCTGAGTCTTAAATGACCTTAGAAGGCTAGGGCCAAAATGTTGGCTTTCCTTGCAGCCCTCCTTTTTCTCTAATTTTGGTCTGCAAACTTAGGTTGTTACCCATCCAGAAGAAAAGCTTATTGTGATCACCATACAACCTAGGCTGTTAGGCTTAACCTCACTATCTGTCTGAATATCAAACATCTTAGGCACAACATGGGACAGGTATTTTTCATCAAGTATTGATATGTTGAACGAGCAAATTGGCCAAGCAATGGCCGTGACTCATCCACATGGCAGACACTGACAAAGGATCTATAATCTGAGGTTTAGGATCTCAGGAAAAATCCTGAGGGGATTTGACTGACCTTATCAGACCCAAAAGCTACAAGTCTTGTTGCATAGGTCTTGCTTTATCTTGGTCTTAACCATCCAGCGGAAAAGTATAAAAAGGATGTATAAGAAGTAAAGCCATGGTGTTATGTTGAGCTGTAGGGGACTCAGGTCAGCAATTTCTGACACTGCCAGTCAAGTGGAAGACCCAATACTATTATGGATTACTGGACTCTTTTAGAATATTTTGCTGAGTTAACACACCTATAATATTCAAATAACGGAACTAAACAAAAAAAGGGGATGCAGATGAATGTCCATTTTGTATGTGTATTCAAAATGGTTAGGATATATAGTTACATTCTCTTAATGAATAGAGGGATTTGTTCTAATAGTGTTTGTAAATAGGATATCATGTCTACATCTTGTACAGCAAATAACCACTAGGAAGAGAGTATGCAATGTGTTAATTATTGAAACTGTCCTACCAATTTGATTTGAAACTGTCTCATTGCTATTTGTCTCTCAATAAAATTATGGAAAAAAAAAAAAAAAAAAAGAAGCGGACCTGAGCGTGGGCATCTCACCTGTTCCTGGATTGAACACTCAGCACCCTGATGGAGGGAACCAGAGATGTATCTCCACATAAATGGGTATAGGACAGGACCCATAGGACTTAGAGGCAGGGAGCGGGGAGCAGGGAGACTTTGCACATGAGTCTGCAATTCCAGAGTCCATCATGCCCTGGCTTTTGGGAAAGTATTCAGAATGAACCACTTTCCACCATTCTTCAAGCCATGCTGGCCAACTGAGTTTCCAAGTACCATACCTGAGACCTATGACAGTGCTGGACTTATGTGTTAGCCAAACTCACAAACAACGCATCTGCCCATGCCTCATCAGCCACTTTATGCAACAGTGTTACTTGCCAACAATGATACAAAGGCCTTGTAACAGTGGAGACCAGTGCTTCTCCATCTGTGTTGGAAAACACAATTCATAGACACAAGTCCTGTCAGTGGGTCAAACCCAAACCATTTTTCCGTTATAAACTTTTTATTTATTTTTTGCAGTGATAACTTGCCAGGCAAGTGCTTATTCTATTGAGCCATTATTTTAGGTGGAACCAGGGATTGAGCTCAGGCCCTTATGCTTGCCAGGCCAGTGCTTATTCTACTGAGCCATCTCCCCGGCCCCTGCAGTGATAACCTGTAAGGAAAAGCCAAGCATCACAGTGTAAGGCCTGTTTGTAGGTGGGGGTGCACTACTCTGGGGCCCTCCCAGCATTCTGGGCCTTGCAGGACTTGTCCATTAGTGGCAGGAAGGCTTGGTGAGAAAGCCCCGGGGCGCCAGGAGCTGTGACTGCTGACAGTGACTCTCATGCCAGGGTCACGTCTGGCCAGGTGAGGCAGTGAGAACCCACTAGGCTGATGAGGCTGCTCTCTTGAGTAAAAAGCCCCTGGCGGTGGAGCTGGGAAAACACGGGCTCCCTGTTGAGGCTGAGTGGGCTGGTTCTACAGAACAGGGGGTGCTGCAACCTAGGCAGAAGGCAAGGCATGACCCTTGACCGCTGGCTAGCAGAACAGCTAGACACACCCAGTGGTAGCTATAAAATTTTACTTCATATATGTCTGGATCATCCAAATTTATTCCCACCATTAATACTTTGGCAAGTTACTGTGTAAAACAAAAACTGCAAAGATGCAATCTAACCTAGTCATGGTAGACTCTCTGGAGAGGGCAGGGCCGGGCTCAGGGCTGTGTTTCTGAAAGGTGTCACCAAAGGACAGGGAGGAAGCGACGCATGGGAAGCCCCCTCCCCGGCTGGAAGGTGAGGCGCCAGCCATCCAGGCACACAGCCCCACAAAAAGCAGAACATAGCCATCATGTGCTTCAATACAAATTTAATAAAGCCTCTGACATGTTTTAATTCATAAGTTATCCACAAAAACAAAAGACCCACAACTGTTTAGAACCATCAAGAGCCATCACGGTGCCAATGAACACCGGCTATAAAAGTAGACTCAGTGTTTTAGATAGTGCAATATCGCAGCTGCTGTGACTATAAACTACTCTCCTGGTCAAGAAAAGAACTGGTGAAGTTGCTATTGGTGCTTATAAACCACACCTCCTCCAGAGGCCCACGGACTCTTCTCAGCTAAGAAAAACCATGGTGGGATCAACCTTTGTGTGGGCCATGAGCTAACAGGGCTCAGCACCTATGTACAGACTATGTACACCAAGGTCAATACATATCTCTTCTTTTGGCGGAACCGGGGACTGAACTTGCCAGGGAAGCGCTTATCCCACTGAGCCATCTCCCCGGCCAGTGTCAATACACATCTTAAAAGGAGTCGAGTGTGTACAGAATGTTTGAATCCACAAAGCGGGGGTTACTAACACATCTTAGCGTTAATTTCCTGCCTTCACATTCATCTTTCCCATCACAGTAAAGCATGTGATCTTCCTCAGGAGCCCACGGCCCTGGCCCTGGTCCGACCGGGATCCCGCTGAAGGCCTCTGTGAGTGTGGGTGGCAGGCTGCTCTCTGGCTGGAAGGTGTGGCTTCTAAGCACTATAAGCTGAAGCCTGGGCAGAGTGGGGGAGGGAGCAGGTGTGCTCCACTTCTCCTCTGGCTTTCTTCTGGGTGGGGACACATGAGGTACAGGAAAGACCACGCCCAGGGTCCCTGCCTCAATTCCCTGGATTGGACAAGAGTTTTCATGAACAGACGGTAGAGAAAAGTGTAACAGGTTGGAAAGGGAAATGGAGTAAAAACTGAAACAAAAACAAGCCAACAATGCAGAGGCAGTGAGGAGAATGCGGGTTTCCTCGCCTTCTGAGCTTGTCAGTGCAATGGTTCCCAGGGCTCTGCATTGAGTGCTGGGCAGCAAGCCCCAAGACTCGCGGAGTGAAGCCACTGCCCACTTTGGGCAGTTGAACAGGGCAAATGAGCCGAGAGAAAGGGAGTTGCTGCGCTGGGCAGCAGTCAGTGAGTGCAGCTAGAAGTGGACCAAACCAGGATGCCAACGTGGATGCATAGGTCAGGATCGGTGGTGAGGGTGCCCTGACAGCTTGGCCTGCCGAGGACTCCCGAAAAGAGGCTGCAGCAGGGAAGGTGCAGCTTGGTGGTGGGAACAGTGCCCTGAACTTTTGGTGCTCTACGGCCTCCCTGGGTACCAGCTGGGTCTGGCTGCCGAGAAGAGGCCACTGGGTGGGACAGAGGCAGAGACTTCATTGGGTGCATAGAGGCTTAGCAAGGCCTTACCTGAGTGAAGAGTTTTCAGAACGGGAGAGGATCCACATGTAGCAGGCTTCATGCGCCCAGACCCACGCCATGGGACGACTCTAGGCTCCTGCAGTTTGAGAGACCAGCTCACTCTGGTCAAGGGAAGACAGACTTAAAAAGCCCCAACTATCCAAAAGTGTCCTCTTTACATGTGCCAGGCCTGGGCTCTTGGCTACTGGAAAGTGGGAAGAAAGGACCAATGTGGGTGGAACCTGGAGGTTTATTATCAACAATCCCTTCCACCTAGATCACCTGGAGAAGGCTGTGTAGGGCCATCATGTGCGTCTAAGTTCCTTGAGGCCACATGGGAGTCTCATGGCTATAAAAAGCTTGGGGGCCGACGGCTCCGGGCATGTTGGCCAAGCTCCCAGCTGTTTCTAGGAGCCCTGGAGGGCTCGTGGATGGGACGGGGTTAGAGCTAGGACAGCTCGAAGCCTGTGTTCATGCTGATGGCGTAGCGCAGCTTCTCTCGAAGGATGCTTTTCTTGCTGTAGTTGGGCAGCTTGAGGAGATTGAAGCAGGTGGAGGAAGTGGGTAGACGGCCACCTGGCTCTCTCTTGCGAATGGTGAAGAAGCCCCGGAGGACACTGCCCAGGGTGTCCCCAGTGTCCTGCAATTGACACCACAGTCTTGAGTCAGGAGGTGCTTGGCCTGGTAGATGCCAAAGCAGAGAGAGGACCTCAGCAGCCACAGGGCACCGGGCAGAATGTGTGCTGCCCTCGGTGCACATGTGGCGCCTCAGGTCAACCCCAAATTTGATAGTGGCCTGACTGCTGAGTACAGAGAAGCAGCCCTGGTTCTATGAGGCCACATGGGGACTCCTGCACTGTCAGCTTTGAGAAAACCAGCCTTCTGGGTCATAGCCAATATCAGTTAACCAGTCGGCAAAGAACCAAATAATGGGAAACTTCTGGGTACAAAAGCTTTCCTAAATGCAACTTAACGTTTCCTGCTGGCTCTGCCTGTTTCATGGTGGACTTGGCCTTAAGTAGAGAGGCTGAGACTGTCTAGTGTCCTACATGAAGGAGGCACACTCAGGAGCCTCTGGGTCTTCAGGGGTGGGGTACATCTGAGCATGTGCTATGGCCAGGCTCACAGAGTGAGAGGCATGCTAACCCGAAGGTGCTGTCCTTTAACAGACTGACACAGCAGAACGTCTGGGTGGCACGGCAGCAGGGGAGGAGCTGCAGTATAGGCCTGCATTTGTCTGCCCTGAGGCTTACCCCTCCCAAGCTGCCTCTCAGGCTTGGGACCTGGCTGGACTAGCTACCACTGGGACAGCATGCACTACCCCAACGTCCCTGTCCCCAAGGAAGGAAGAGAAAGAAGGAGCAGCCAGGGCAGGGCCAGCTGCTCTCATGCTGTGAGAACTGTGGCTCCAAGAGGTCCAGTGCCAGTCCTGCTTAAAACACAGACTGGGAGAGGGTCCACAAGGGGAGCACAGCAGAAGACAAGCAAGCAGGAACAAGGGCCACCACCAGGCACCTGTGGCTCCCGCTGTGTACCTGGTCATCAGACACTTCCACACAGCGGATGGAGAATGGGGGCTTGAGGTAGGCGAATCCCAGGAGCGGAGGCCTGGAGCAGCTGGTCACAAACTGCAACACAACGTAGGGTCAGAGGGGACAGGAGGAGCTCCTACAGTTACACTACGTGCTTTCCCTTCCTTAGCCACTGTACTGGTCACTGTGCTGAGCCAGCAGTGAGGATGACAGCAGCAAAGCTGGCTTGTGTTATGTGGACCACACATGGTCCCTGCAGGGTGCAGCTCTCTGGTACTGACACATACAGACTCCTCACTCATCAGAGATGACTGGCAATTTGTAGGGGGGACTGAGGAGTTAAGGAAAAGTCAGAGCTCATCTACAGCACCAGAGTGACCTTCCTGAGAGGCGGTCTCCAGTGGCAGTGCTATGTAGTCACAGCAGCTGGGAAGAACAGTGACAGACACCCTTCCTTAGAGATCCTACACAACAGCAGCACTGGCAAGGGTAAGGCAACATGGGGGCCCCCCAGGTCAGCTGTGGGGGAGGGGCTGCACCCGAGGGGAGGCCCTGCAGCCACACAGAGCCCTGGTGCCTATCTCCCCAACAGCCTCACTTGCCCACAGCATGCTGGGCGTGGCCTGCTGACTGGCAGAGCTGTCTGTGTGTGGCGGTCCTGGAGATGCCTCTGCAAGAGGGGCTCTGCCCTGAGCATGCAGAGAAGAACCAGGGCTCACAGCCAGAGAGCCTGAGAAATAGACCAAAGCATGGCGCATCGCTTGTGGGTCCTACACCACAATTCCCTGCTATAGCCCAGAACCTTGGCACTCTTCAAATGGCAGCACCCGTGTTGGTTCCTCAGCTGTGCTAGCTCATGTGTGGATGCAGGCAGGGGCCAACCTAGAAATCCCAGAGGTCAACCTAGACAGGCCTGGCCTGAAAAACCTTCCCTTTTTATAATTCTGCAATCCAAAATTCTCTTTTCTCTATGGGATCCAGGGCTTTGCTACTTATGGCTCTAAAATTTAGTGACCAATTTAGTTTGTATCTTAAAAGTAAATATTACCATTTATTTTATTTTATTTTTTTTGGCGGGACCGGGGCTTGAACTCAGCCCCCCCCCACCACTTTTTTTTTAACAGAACCGGGAAATGAACTCAGGCCCTTGCGCTTGCCAGGGAAGCACTTATTCTACTGAGCCATCTCCCTGGCCCCTAATGTTACCATTTAAACAATATTATAAATGGTTATGAGATTCTTGAGATATTGCAAAGATAGTTTTATGTGTGTTATATTTCAAGAATTTTTTTTTTTTTTTAAATGTACTAAATAGCTGCATATAGTGGCACACACCTATAGCCCTAGTACTCTGGGAGGCAGGAGACTGGAAGTTAAATCCCCTGAGGGAACTCAGGGAGATCCTATCTCAATATGATTTTTTTTTTCAATATAAAAAATGAAAAGGGCTGGACATGGTAGTAGTGCACACCTGTAATCCTAGTACCTGGTAGGGGGAGGCAGGAGGAGCACTGTACATGTTTGGCCAGCCTGAGCTACACAATGAGTTCATGGCCAGTCTGAACTATACAGTAAGACCTTGTTTCAAAGGGAAGAAAGACAAACTGTGGATGTAGCTTAGCATGAAGGCCATGGGCTCAATCCCCTGTACCATTTAAACAAAACAGTACTGAATATCTTCCCCTTCTAAAACGTTTTAGTAAAAAAAAAAAAAAAAAAAAAAATGTTTTAGTTATAAAAACCACAGCAGGAACAGCAGCTGAACCTTCTGTGAACACAGACCTCAGTCACTGCAGAGATGCTGTGCATCCAGGCCGGGTTAGTCCTGTTCTGAGGAGGAGACAAACTGCCTGCACATCCAACTCAGGCGGGCTCCAGACTACTTAGTCCTGGGGCTGCCTGAGCAGGGAGGTGCTTCCAACCCTCCAGGGCAAGGGAGGGTGAGGGAGGGAAGCTTCCAGTGCTACACTGCCTGACAGCACCGGTGCATCTCCTCCCAGGTGAGCGCTCTGCTTTCATGCTCCTGGCTCTGGGGCCTGTCTGCAGCCACATGGAAGACAGCCAATGAGGCACTGTGGGTTTGGTGACAGGTCAACTGAAGGTTCAGACATGCCTAACTGTGGGCTGTGGCTATGCCACTGTGAACCGCTGCCTGTCTTCTTCGCAGGACAAGAACAATGGTGTTTCCAGGTCAGCAGAGTGCTGTGAATGAGTCACACTGTGGGAAGCTGAGCTGCTCCTCTGGCAGGACCAACTCTTGGGACTACCCTGCCCCCCACCCTGAGGTCCGGGGGACCTTGCATGGCTGGAGCTGGGGCCTACTGGACTGCTGCAGAGGCCTCCTCAACACTAATGCACTTTCCTCACAACGACCAACCATGAAGACCAGCTGCTAATTCAATTGGTGGGACACTGCCACCTCCTTTCAACTCTGGCGTCACAGTTCTGTTCAAGAAAACCCTATGCCCAACAAAGTAGTTCAAGGCACTAAATTTACTCCCAGAACATGGCAAAGTATTCTACTGTCAAAGGGTTCTACTGTAAAAAAGAAAAGTTGGTGGGGAAATGACTCCATTTTTGTAAAAATACACAGTGTGCCAACCACTGACCTATATTAGTACTAACATCTTGTTGTCAATTGTCAAGAGAGGGGCTGGTGAGATGGCTCAGTGGTCTAAAGCACCTACTTAGAACAAGCTAAGCTCAAGCAAAGCACAGAGACCTCGCTTCAATCCCCCAGCACCACATGCTGGCCCGCCCGCCCCCTGGTGGGCTGAGCTGGCCACACACTAAATAAATAAGTAAATAAATAAATAAATAAATAAATATTTAAAAAAAAATTGTCAAGAGAGAGTTCAGCGGCACTGGGAAAAATGTCTGGAATATTCAGAACTTCATGGACACCAGAACAGGGAACTGGTTCATGTCAGCAACTGTTTGCCAAAATATACGACATTGGCCTAAGCAATTGTGTGTGCTTTACTGGGACACCGTGTGTGTGTGTGTGTGTGTGTGTGTGTGTGTGTGTATGCGTGTGCGCACATGTGTGCATGTGATATATGTTTTGCACTACTGAGAAAAGAGGGTACATGGATAGAGTCCCTGATAGGTAGGAACGTAGGCAGTATACAACTCTACATTTATAGAAATATTTATGGTCACAAGATTGTTTAAAGCTTTGTTTGTATCTTCTGTTTTTTTTTTTTTTTTTTTTGCAGAAGACGGCATACGAGATGTTGCGGCGTGACTGGAGTTCAGACGTGTGCTCTTCTGTTTTTTTTTTTTTTTTTTTTTAAATCAAAGATAGTGTCTTGTTATGTTGAAGGCTGGCCTCAAACTCACCATGAAGCCCAGGTATGTGCCACCATGCCCAGCTATACCTTAAGGTAATATGATTTACTTCTATAAGGAGAGCACAGAAAAAATAGCAAGTCCAGCACAAGCCAGGAGAGGATGGCACAGCAAGCCCAGCAGGGACACATGCCCAGCTGGGCAGGGGCCTGTCTCACAGCCCTGGAGCCTCCTTGCTTACTACGTGGCTTACTGGAGAGGACGTGCTCACGATGGGCTTCCTTGAAAACCCCATTCTTCCCAGTGTAAATTCGTGTATCAACAGGTCTCCTCAGCGTATTACACTACCATGCACCCCTAAACACACACACAGGGGTCACAAAATACCTTCAGAAACATGGCTCTCTCATCAGGCGTGAAGTCGGAGGCCAGGATATCCCAGAGCCAGATGATAACTCTGTGACTCCCATGAAAGCCACCATAGTACACCGTGTGCTTCCTGAAAAAACCCAGACAAGGCTCAGCTGTACGCTGACAGGTATGTGTGGACATAGGCAGGCAGGGTAACTCAGTGCTGGCTAACACTACTAACGCCTCTGATGCCTCAAGTCCATGTCTTAGTAATCTCATCTTCCTGGAAGCTGAATGGGTAGGGTGTTTGAAAGCTAGTCCTGCTCTTCCCAAACAGGCCAACCTGAACCATCATGTCACCATTTGCTGGAGCTTTAGCAAGACCCCAGTCCTTAAAGCTGGCTTCCAGGTGTCACTTGCCAGGCCAACAAGGGGACAGTTTTTACCCCACAACACCCTAGCCAGATCATGGAGGAAGAGATCTGGTGCAGGGCTCTTGGAATAACTCTTTCAAAGGAACCCAGCAAAGGAATAGCTTGCTTTCTAAGAGGCCTAAGAATTTCACCCTTCCCTCCTCACTGCCCCTTACTTTATTTTTTTATTTTTTATTTTTTTGGCGGAACTGGGGATTGAACTCAGATCCTTGCGTTAGTCACGCGCTTATCCTACTGAGCCATCTCCCCGGCCCCTTGCCCCTTACTTTAAATCATCCAGATCAATCTCAGCATTGTCACCAGAGATGAGACGCTGCAGCTCAGGGGCTGAGAACATTCGGATCCACTCGGGTTTGATGATGGAACGGAATCCACTAATGAGGGCAGCTGTCTGGTTTTTTATTTGAGTGTGCATTCGAAAGTGCGCCATCAGATGGATGTAGCTAATTCTGTTAACAAGGAAGAGAAAATAACAGAAATTAAGAGGAGGCTGATACCAATGGGCTGAAAGATGAGTCTAGTCATTTCTGAACCATTTTATGGAAACACAGTGGCACAGAGCCAGGGCATGTCACCAGAACAATGACAATCAAGGCCACAATGACAGTGCTCTTGTCAGCACTCGCCACTAGGACGACTCAGGTATTCACAGGTATTGTTGTGTTTACTTGTCCCCCAAACCTTACACTTTACACTGAGAATGATCCCCCATTATGTTGGGAATCAAAGCGAGTCATTCTCAGAGGTAGAAAGAAGGCCCCTCTTAGTACAAAGGTTGTTCTCAGACTTCCTTTTAATTTCATTGTTTTGGACACAACTGATCATGTGATCATTTAGTACTCTAGTAAGTTTTACAGTAGAGGAGAACTGTTTCGTATTGAAACGTCAGTCTGAACCTTGCTAAAGTAGACCAAAAGTCTAAAGCCATGAAAAGGAAGCACAGCAGGATGTTTCCCACAAATGCAGTTGCCTTATGTCCAGGGTCTGCTGAGGAAGTCAGAGGAACTAACCCTGCTTCAGCACAGGATCTCTGGGTCTGTCTGCATGAACACACTGATTTCGCAGGACATGATGTAATCCCTCTGGACAGGTTAAACACTCCAACTAGCTGGCTATGATGCTAATTTCTTAGCAAGCCATTTACTCAGGAAGTAAAAGCCTTGAGCTTGGCCCAAGTATGACTCTCATAAATTCCAAGTAAGTACAGTCCATGTAAAATTTTTCCCCATAATGCTTTGATCTAACTTACCTAACCTGAAAATATTTCTATTTTTAGAACTGTCCTAGCAGCAATCCTGTACCTTCAAATAGAAATATGAGTTTTTCTATTATTGGTGGTCCTCCCAAGTAATCTTTGGAACAGGTATTCCAGAGACAGAAGGAGGGCCAGCGCACACTGTTAAAACCCTAGCAATGTGAGATCAAGTATCATCTTCTGAGGAGGAGGAACAGGCACTTCCAGGCCTTTCCAGTCAGCTTGGTTACAGACCACCCTTGCCTTACACCGTGGCTCTAGGCCCAGGAAACAGGAGTTTGTCAAATGAGTTTACAAGTCTGGTTTCAAGGCAGAACAGGGACCTCTCTGCAGCACAGCATCGACCCAGTTCCTCCGGCTATTTACACACCTCCCAGGCATACAGTTCTTGCCATCACCTCTGTGCAATAGCTCTATGGAAAGGGGGCTTCCCTGGGAGCAGCAGGATCTACAAGACAAGTCACATATCTATGATGTGACCCTGGCTCTCATTTATCAGCCCCTTTTCAGGCAGATATCCTGGGAGCCATTTTACAGCTTCTCCTGCACACAGACCTATGAAGGAATGGCTATGCATCAGAGGTGAGCAGGGCCAGAATGTAACCCATTCCCTCCATGCCCCAGCCTGGGTCCTCTCCCCTCCCCAGCAACCCCTGTAACCTGTGCTTTTTTCTAGGTTTCACCCTAATGCCCCATAGCTAAGGGGCAAAGCTGGTGTATTTCAGTAACGATGAAAATGAAGTCTGTTCTTTTGACAGTGGAAACAACTCCCCAAGTACAGACTGACCAAGCCACGTGATTCCACTGGACTGTAATGCGCATCTGATCCAGATGACAGGTCAGGTGGGATAAGTCCTCACCTGTCACTGAAGAGACTGATGCTCAGATCACCAGTTCAGGTGCCCAGCTGCACCTGACGGCAGAACGCTGCAGACTGACAAGGGGGCCAAGGGCTGCTCCTTGTGCCAGGTTCTACTGTTTTAATCAGGCAAGGGCAGGGCTGGCTGGAGACAGGGCATTCAGGGGCTTTGTTTCTTCAGACCGAATGGGCTGACATTTATGACAGATTCCTAGAAGCACGGTATCAGTGACAATAGCTGACAGGTTTCAGTGTCTCTTCTGATTTCCTATGTGTAAGTCTGTCTGCTGAACTGAATTCATCACCGAGTCTCTTGAGAGCAGTGTTTTCTACAACTGCTGCATGCCATCATTTTAAAGTAAGCTGCTCCTTGAAGGTGTCTCTGCTTTGGTGCCCGTTGGGTTCAGGACAGGGCCTGATCAGCTCAGAGCCTATCTGTCTGCATACAGAGCCGTCACTTCATTCCTAAGAACACTGCGGCCTGCGTGCCTCTGACCTTACAAGTGCTACTGCAAAAAAATAAATCATCAATTCTTATTTTGCAAATCGAATTTAATACAACTCTGGCCTATGAACTGTAACCAGTAAATTCCATTATGATATTTATGGCCTCTTTCTACTTTAATCTATCTTAATAAATTCTCAACATAAGCCTGGAGAGCCAGAATGAAGTCTTTTCAAGTGGTGACCTTAAAAATCTAATTGCTGTACTCACTTATTTTCATTTGTAACAGGAATGGTCTTCCCTCCAGGAATCAGTTCATGGCAAACAAGCTGGGGGAGAAGATGGGGAGCAATTACTAGAAAGGCTTCTAATGGGGAAATAAAGCTTCCTGGAGAACAGGGCCCAATGCAAACATCCATGTGACGGAATTAAGATGGTATGTTCTTGGGAAGGATCATTTTTCATAAAACCTCAGGGTTAAAACCATCAATGAGCAGATCCTGTGGGATCAATAGGAAAGGTTTCTTACGTGAACCTTGTTCAAACATCTGTGCCAGGCTCCAGAATGCCACGGAAGAAACTTGGCATTTAGGCCCACAGCAGGAGGCTGGGTAAATGTTGGCACATGAGAATACTATAATATTCTCATAGTAAAAAATAGGATGAAAGTGTACTCTTGCTGAAGAGGTGAGAAAAAGGAGACTATAATTGCATGTATGGTCTGGTATCATTTCTGCAAAATAAACCAAATTACATACATATGCATGTGGGAAAGAGCCTGAAGGACAGAGACAAGACTACCGGGCCCCCTCTGGGCACAGGCATTATGGAGCTTTTTCATTTTCATCTTTCTGTTCATATTATAGTCAAACTGTTCTGCCAGGTATTTCACCCAGCCTGGTGTTTTCCACAGATGCTTCCAGGGAACACCCAGAACTCTACTGACAAGAGAAATAACACTCTGTCCTTCTAAGAGTCTGTGGTAAGCCAAGCCAGGGAGGCTTGGGGTGACCACACCGAGGCTTCTCTGGGCCCTCAAGTGCTCAGGGCTGGTTGACTTTCAGGACAGGAGGGCACACAGAGTTCCCATTGGTGCCTACATACACGCGTTCACCTCATCAAAGACTCTGGCCTTTGTCTGGGGCATTGCAGGTGGGCTGCCCCCCCTTGTCATGACACTGTATTTGTAAGGGCTAATCCTCACTATGGAAACAGAAACATAGTTAAAAAGAGGGATCGGCTTCCACCATTAGATTCTAAGACACAGTATGAACAAAGCAGGGTCTCAAGGCGGAGCGCTCTAAGGCCAGGTTGTCAGGGAAGTAGCAGGGTAGCAGGAGAACAAGGGACAGACTGACAGGCAGATCCTCAGCTTGTGGACTTCTCCTACAGCAAACCTAAGTTGGGCAAGTCTCGGAAGCCCACGAAGGAGCTCAGCCAGGAAGGCAACGTACCTGACCCATGACGTCCTCATCGTAGGATAGCGTCAGGCCCAGGTCAGCGATGTCCCCGTCATAGCGCTAAGGCAATAGAGAGGGCAATGTTGGGGCCAAGCAGTGCTACACTGTTGAAGAGTTAACCCTTCCTTCCTTGAGGTGTTGCTGTGGTGGTGCTCACTACCATGCCTCCCACGGCTGGAGGCCGGGAGGGCTGCACACCACCCTGAGGGTGAAGACTGTGGGTCTCCTCCCTGGGAGGGCGTGTTCAAAGGGACATGGGGACTGCACTGATTACAGCAGGTTTTCCTTTAGGACATGGAGACAGGGTAAAGCTGAGCCCAGCTAAGCCTTGGCTTAGCTATGAGTTCACACTAGGACTTGGCTCAGTTACCTACTACTAACCTTGATGGAGGTAAGGTTTTTATAGAACTCTGAGTCCAGAGAAGGAAGCTCATCCACGGAGCTGTAGAAGATGCTGTGGTGATGCCCAAGCAGCTGGCTCAGAAAGAAGGAGGCGAAGGGCACATCCACCACAATTCCCTGCAGGGTAAGACAAGAACTTTTCAATTCCATGGTCAAGGATTCTGGCTCAGTGATTGGGTCAGGGAAGCTTAGGCTGCAGGGGTGGCCCTGAACACGCACTGGCATCCCTAGGTCCTCCTAAGTTTTCGGTCTGGAAAGCCACACTGTCCATTATTTAACAAACCACAGCACAGGCACCAGGGGCCCAGGGAATGAGACCCTAGGTTCACTGCTACTGCTGGGGTAGGGCTGAGGGCATTCTCACTGTAATGGGGTCAGCATGAACTTCTTAGTTACAGGAATGCAGAAGCACAACACTGACCCCTGCTAGGCTCTCAGGAGCTGTGGGAACATGTGTCATGGATATAGGCAGAGCACAGAGACGGGTTCTCACCTGGAGGCTGGAAGGCAACTTCCAGGAGGAAGAGTTCTCTAAGGGAACACTGGAGGGGCACAAGGTCTCTGAGTGAGAACCACAGGTGTGCTGCAGGGGTGCAGCTCAGGCCATCTGGTCACTGCTATGTGCAGGGGGGAGGCTGAGTGAACCATGAGTCCAGAGCCCACAAGCTGGCTCCAAAGGGCCCCTAAGCTGGCTGCAGTGTGCGCTCCATCCCTAGGGCTCTAAGCAGGAAAGCAACAGTTTTATACTCTGTGTGGCGAGGGCAGTGGGGGAGACAGAGACAGGGACAGGGGAGGCAGCTAAGCCCCACAGCTGCAAGAAATGCAGAAAAACTGAACTGTGGCAGCAGCTACAAGGGTTGGGAAAGGTGCCTCTGCAGACTTAAGAGGGAGGGTTATTAAAACTCTGTGACCGTGGTGTCAAAGGGGACCGGACCATGAGGTTAAAGATGTGAATACATGCTGTGCCCCACACAGAGCCAGTAGGTCCTACTGTGCTCATCCATGCTATGACTGGTCAAGGTTAGGACAGGAGGCACACAGAGGCAAGGCCTGGCAGATGGACGGACATTTGGGAAACTAGAGGAGACCACACTTCTCAGCTGGCCTATCGTACCTAAATGCTTAGAGGAAAAACACTGCATCAGGTAGGTACTAGAAGCTGGTGATTTTTTTGGTACTAATGGCCAAACCCAGGACCTTGTACATGCTAGGTAAGTACTGTATCATGGATCTGTATCTCCAGCTCTGTTTTTTCCTTTTTTAAAAATGGGAATCAGCTGAACAATTGTTTCCATTTGGTAGAGGAGGGGGCCTGCCCCTTAGCTCAGTTCTTTAAGTGGCTGCTTCAACAAAGCAGTCAGGCTCAGGTTGCTGTGGTTCGATCCCCACAACTCAAGCAAGCCAAACCTGCCCTGAAGGCATTGGGGGAAAAAAAAAAAAAAAATCCTTCTGCCATTTGGTAGAGGAGGAATCAGAGGAACCACAGAATAAACTGAGGCTACCCAAGCAACGCAGGGCAAAAGAAGGACTGAATGATACTTGCAAATTCTAATGGGGCACTAGATTTTTAGCATGGCTGGGGCCTGGGGCCACCCAGAGGCAGCTTCCAAGAAGAGAGCAATGACCTGGGCAAAGCATCCAGGCCGAGGCTGGCCACCTTCCCTCAGCTGCTGGCTCCTTCCCTTTGGAAGGCATTCTGGCTACACTAGGGATGGGGAGTGCCACTGGGCAGGGGAGCTAGCTCAGCAGCCAGCCTTTCAAGTGTAAGATCCCGAGTTTGATCCTTGGTACCAAAAAAAGAGCACCATTTAGGCAGCTCCCTTCTGCTGAGCCGAGCCAGGCGCTGTGCAGGGCTGGGCCCTGGGAAGGCCCCCAGCTCAGCACCTGTAAGTGAGAATCACTGCAGCTTGTTTTCCTGCCTTGGGGCAGGACCCTGAAGGCAGGTTCATTTCTACCTAGAAAATCCTGCCTATCCTGACCTGGCTGCCAATGACACAGATCAAGAGCTATGTAGCTTTATACATATACTCTTCACTCTATGAGCCTGAGGAGCAGAAACTGAGCTCCTAAATGACAGGGAGGATACAGTGTCTTCTGACCTAGGGTACCATGTGCCAGGCACCGAGGGAGGGGGCTATAGGTATCACCACATTTGACCCTGACACCGACCTAGCTAGCCTCACAGCTGTATTATCCCCACCTTAATGAGGAGGTAAAGTCATTTGAATGCACATGGGCACATGACATGGCTAGCCAGGGAGGGGATGCTCTGGACCAGCTGCTGGGGGCTATCCCTAACCTGCTTGTTCCAGGCTGTAGGCAACTCCCAGGAGCCCCAGCTCACTCTGAAGTACTCACTCAAATAATGAAAGATACAAAAATAGTGGTAGAACTGTGCTTAGCATAGGTGAGACCCTAGGTTCCATTGCCAGAACTGTAAAAACCAGCCAACCAAAACCAAAAACTATCTACTACTAATGCCTATAAAGCTGCCCTAAACTGAGGAGCAAGCTTCCTCATAGTGATATGGCTCTGGCATGTCACTCCTCCCTCCTCTGGTGGGGGCCGGCTGAGGACCCAGGCTGGCTGGGTTGGAATTCTGCCTTTGCTACTTAACTAGAAAGAAGGCTCCTGAAAATGAGTTTTCACAGCCTTAAGTGTCTCATTCTTAAAGAGAGGACTGCACCAAGTATAGCCAGGATGCTTTCCAAAGGGAAGGAGCCAGAAGCTGAGGGAAGGTGGCCAGCCTCGGCCTGGATGCTTTGCATAGGTCACTGCAATCATAGGACTGTCAAAAGGATTAAGTGAGCTGACGAATGCAATCCACCTAGAACTTACATCAACAAATGTTGGTGGGGGCCGGGGAGATGGCTCAGTGGAATAAGTACTTCCTTGGCAAGCCCAAGGGTCTGAGTTCATTCCCTGGTTCCCCCCCCCCAAAAAAAAAAAAAAAAAAAAAAACCACAAGAAAAACAATGAAAAAACAAACGTTGGTTCGTGCCCCTCACCTTGGCTTACCCTAATGTCAGGTTGTTTACATGGCTGGGCCCGACCCCATAAACCTGCACAAAGTCAGCAGTGCTGCTTGCATTTCATTTCACTCTTCTGTTCCATATTCCCCAGGGTGCCTACCTCGTACACAGCCTTCCCCAGCATCTTCCCCACAAACTCGAAGAGTTGCAGGTAATTCTCATGGATGTAGGATGTGGGAGAGGGGTACAGCCGCTCATCCCCACTGGTTGTCTGCCAGGCAAAAGGACAGAGAGAAGCGGAGGTTACATGCTTCGTCTTTACTTCTTGGACACCTCATGATCTGCTGCCACTGCCAGCCACACTCACACCCTCCCAGCCACCTTGAACAGATTGAGTGCTGGGTCAAACACCCTTTTGATGATCTCTTCCAAGAATTCCTTGAACACGCCATCCTGATCGATCCCGGCCTCATCCACTCCAAGGTCATTGACGAACTTCACTCGGATCACACCTTTCATGGCATGCTGGGAGAGCTGCCGCAGCTGCTCATAGCCATCCTACCAAGGGCAGAATTCAGCCTGTTAGGAACCATGGTCTTGTGCATAATTCAGGACTCCTTTGCCAAGTCCACCCCCTCCCCAAGCTTTCCCATGCAATAACCAAATGTGCAAGCCAGGACATGTGGGAACACAGAAGACAAAGTGGTTCTCGCTTGCTTTTAAATCAGAGCCTATTAAAAGGAAAGATTCATCTCAGAAAAGTGATGGCCTTGCTCTCTGGCAGGAGGAGACTGGCCTCAAGAGGATGCAGAGTTGCCAGACAGGGAATCCGACAAACTGAGCCATAACACGTTCTCGGCCATCAGACAAAAGATGGAAAAAGCTCAGGACAAGATAGATCTCCCCCTCTTTTAATGCTAAGAATATGTTTGACTTCTCATGGGGAAGTCACATTTCATTTCATTACTATGAAATGAAAAATGCAAGTATTCCCCACCCCTTAGCTCCTTGAGCTACAGGACTTCGAGAGTCAAGCTGAGCAGTCAAAGTTGTATCCTGAGGGAAGGTGGTAGAAGGATCATAAGAATTCAGGCAGGGTGTAACATGGCCCCACTGGAGGTAGAAACAGATGGACAGCAGAGGACAATGGGAGAAGCGGACATTCCAGGATACAAGGGCAGTGCTGGGCTGGTGGGAGCAAGAGCAGCGGTGAGGAGCCTCAGCACACCTCTAGCTTGGGCCCTTTGCTGGATGTAGCTCAGATAAAGCATGCTAAACACACAGAAGGCTCTGGTTTTGATCAGTGTATCTTTCCCTTCTAGAAGTCAATGCACAGTCTCCACAATAGTTTAGAATTCTATACTAAACTTTAGTGTCTCTTTTTTTAGTGTGTGTCTCTTAATTCCGATCTGGTGAAGTCTTCCTACCTTCTGACTTTTATCCAATGTATTACTGGTATGTGGGGTGTTGAGTCTATTTCTGAGCAGTGATTACAAAAATCAATGAACAGGACAGAGTCCAGTTGGCAACATGAGAAGCCCTGTCACCAGGGTGAGACTGCTACCTTTTTTGGCAGCACCATGCAGGGAGTTACAGATGAACCTTAATATGCTACTGAGGCCACACCTTTCCCTTTCGGACACAAGTGCAGCAATGCCTATGTTCTGCTGACTTCATGCAGACTATGTCACAGCACCCACCCACCCACCTGCCAGTCTGGTCGCCTTATCACACAGCCAATGGGCAATCTGCCAGTTGGGGAAGTATTCTGAGGGCTCCTGCTGTCTTGCTACCACACTCATCAGTGATCCCAAGGACTGTCCCTTGGGGCTTCTTCATCTTATCAGGGATTAAGCTCCCAAACTGGTGAGCTACAGAGAAATTACCTCTGAAGTCCCAATATTACCAGCAGGATTGGGACATGGAAAGTACTTTTTATGCCTGAGAAGTCTGAGAATCATTAAGTTAGATGTAAAAACTGGAGAAAGAGGATGTTACCAAGCAGCTGTAGGCTAACTAAAGATTATCCTGTTGGCATCATGTTGAAGTTGGGTGGAAGATTCCAGTGTGTTCCCTGGTGTGTGCAGATTTCACTAATCTGCTTTAGAGCCACAACTCCAAACTCTAATTCCCTCAGCAGAGATGCGTGGGGTTAAGGGGATTAAGGAGGCTGACACATGGGAAATTTGGGAGTGTAAACCTGCATTCAAGGGCCATTTGTGGACTTCAGATTTCAGTTTTGCTTGATCTGGCCCCTCCCAGCCATTTCACAAAGTTGTAGAGAAGAATTTGCCACCATCTCCTGATATATATCCTGCCTTTGGGAGCAGGAGCAGCTAGGCGAGCAGTACACACATGCCTCTTGGAAGGCAAGTGCCAGCCAAGCAATCCTCTCTACTGCATCTCGATGTGCAAAACAGGACACTGGGTGAGGAAAGGGAGGCCTGGCTCTGTCACCCGTGGCTGTGGGACCTTGACTGAGAATCCAAATTCCTCTGTCCTCAGCTCTGCCCGACAGGGTACGGGGCAACAGATGGGTAGGAGTATGTTGCAGGCTCTTTCCAGTTCTGAAGAACCACAGCCGCAGCCGCCATTCACTGTTCGAGAAAGCTTTCCTGCCAGACTTGGACCAACACCTCTGAGCCTCCTAGAAGCACAGCTTTCTAAGCTGGCCATGGACCAGGAGGCAGACTAAAAGCTCAGGTCAGGCGGGGCATGTGGTCTCATGCCTATAGTCCCAGAATATGGGAGGCCGAGGCGGAAGGATCATAAATTTGAGCTCAGCCTGGGGAAAACAGGGAGATTCTGACAAAAAAAAAAAAAAAAAAAAAAAAAAAAGCCCAGGACAACTGATACCAGGCTTTTGATGCCCCCTTGTGTTCTGATTAGGCAAAGGCCACTGGGTTGTCACTCTAATAGCCAAGCCACCAGCTCACTAAATACATGCCCCTCTTCCCTTCTTCTTGATTCAGCTTCATGATGAAATGCATCCTGTGCTCTCACAGTAAGGAAAGAGGAAAAGGACTCTGCCTAAATGGTGAGAGACACTCTTCCCTTACATCTCCAAGGAGAGGGTGTTAAGCGGTCAGCCCAGCAGAACTGGGTTGCTGACTGATTTCCTATTAAGGAAGGAGGGAGCCAAGCGAGCCCACTGGCCCCAGGAGACAATACAGGCTTCCCTACACTCCCCTGTGGTGGATGCTGTCTACACGAGCAAGTGTGATGGGTGGTGGGATATGGGGCAGCGTTTGAGGAAGAAAGTGGCAGAAAAGGGGGTTTTACAACACAACAAGGCTGTTTCTTTCTTTGAATAAAGGCAGAGATTGCAAACCAGTGGCCTGCAGGTTGAACTCCAGGAGTTGTCTGGCCTTCCAGGTGCCTTACAAAATTAATTAGTCCACAGCACTTGAGTGCCCTTATCCCTACTTTAAAAAAAGTTATTTATTTTTGTTTGTTGTTGTACAAACTCAGTATGTAGCTCAGGCTGGCCTCACAATCCCCTTCCTCAGCCTTCCAAGTGCTATGATTACAGGCATGTGTCACCACGCCTGACTTATCTCTACTTTTAAGAATGTCAAAGACATCAACTGTTTAAAACATCCTGTCTTTTCCAACAGCTCCTGGTGTCAATCACCAGGGGTCAAGGGAACTAAAACAAGCTCTCTGGTAAGAAGCAATACAAGCGTGGAGAGGCTGCACCGTGGGAGAGATGAAGGGCTGCTGTTTGTTGCCATATGCTGGCGGATGGCTATGTGGCCCTGTGCTGCCATGGGGTCCCTGTTTATCTTACACTGACAGAACACGCAAATGAGGGGCTGTGGTCACAGTGAGATACAAGGTCTAGAGAACACACACGGCAAATAAATCAAGCCAAGCCTCTCCTGGGATTGCAGACTTGCTCCAACGACAATGGCACTGCTGGCAGGATCAGCACAAATGGGCAGGTTGTGCACTATCCAAATCAGGGAAGGATGTAGCATGTTGGGGACAGCTGTCGTAAGAGACACTCACTTTACCATGACAGTGTTCCAGCAGATCGTGGCCAGGGCATAACAAATCCTATCTTGGCAGAGCACACTTGGTGATAGGCGCCCACAGGCCTCACCACTCACCTCACAATAAAGCAGTACGACAGCTGTCTGACATATAGAGGACATGGCAGCTACAGTAGGACCTTGGTTCATAACTTAATTCATTCCATGATTCTGGAGAAAATGGCCATGTTTGTGTTTGTCTATAAAAGATGGCTGTGATCATGTTTGTCATCTGATGTAGAGTTCCCAAACAAAGACAAATTTTTGCCAAATGCTTCTGTTTGCAAGCTAAAGTGTTGGCAAATGAAAGCATCTGTGAACCGAGGTACCACTGTACTACATTCCATCAGGCTGCCCTACTGGTGACTCAAGACACTGGGTCTGGCGTCAGTGGGCAACCATCCTGGTATCTTATACGGTAACATGAACAAAGACCTTCCAGCTCTGTGATAAATGCATCTCCACATGGCTCAGTTAGCAAAACACCCCACTCCAACTGTATGACCTCCTGGTCATACAGGAGTCTGGTCAAGTGCCTGCTGCGACAGTGAAGTCTATACAGACCTGGACAGAGCAGTGTAGCCACTGCAGTTGACTTTCTGTCCTCATTTCAAAGAGGTGTGAGGAGTCTGATGCTCCAGTCCGGGGACTGCTAGGAGCAAAGGAAGACGAGGGAGCCCCAGCACCAAGGGCATGTTTAACCAAGCAACTATTCAGAGTCCACAGGACAAACGGCCTGTGTCTGCTCCTGGAGCCTTGATTTTAGAGTCATGATGCCAAGGCGTGACGAGAACAGTTCAGGGCAATAGATCATCTGGCAGAGAGGGTGTGCAGAGCATGCTTCTCTACAGTCGCATTCTGCAGGCCTCGCCACTCACCTCCAACATCCGGGACCGGCGAATAGTAATGTGAGTGACATGAGGGGAGGCGGAGCTGGTTTCCACGAGCCCCAGTTTTTCTTTTTCCTTGGTAACCATGTTTCGGAATAGGAGAACTCTCTGAAACGAGCAAGGGTGGGGAAGACACAACAGAAACAGGGTCAACAAATGATACTTTCATAAAAACCACTCTGCAGAATTACTGAAATTTAAGTCGCTTGAGATGCAACCAGAATGGGATGCCTGGACATGTGTTGCTGGTCAGAGTCTTGTGAGAACATTAAACATGCTCAAGAGCACTTCTGGGAAGTCAGAAATACAGCTGCACTGATGCCAAGGGAGAAGGGCTCCAGAACAAGTGGTCAAGCTGCAGCCAGTTCCAGCTAGGGCTCCAGGAGAAAATAACTTTCCTTGTGCAGTAAACTGTCCATCACAGAAACCAGGTGGCAGAGTGAGCTACAGGGGTGCTTCCCATAGCTATGCCTGCTTTAAAGGAAATCAATACTATGAACTTAAAACACAGAAACAACTCAGAAAATTGTTCCTACTGTCAGAGATGAAAAGATGGTCCCACAGGATAAAAGTTCCTAATCTTTCTGTCTGCCTACTCTGTGTACCACTGTCCCACTAGTAGTATTTCTCAATTAAGACTTGGATAAAACAGTTTGCCTTTAGCCTTGAGATTCTCATGAGGCCTTTACTTTCTACTCTTTTTTTTTTTTTTTTTTTTTGCGGAACCAGGGATTGAACTCAGGCCCTTGCGCTTGCCAGGGAAGCACTTATTCCACTGAGCCACCTCCCTGGCCCCTGAGCCACCTCCCTGGCCCCTCTACTTTTTGAAGAGATGGGGTCTCACTGTGTTGACCCAGCTGGCCTCAAACCCCAGGGCTGCTGCTGTCTTTCTGCCTCAGCCTCCTGAGTTGCAGAACTACAGGCCCACTCCATGGTGCCCAGTACAGCACCCCTTCAGAAAGCACGAGCCCTTGTATCATCCTGGGCTTGAGAATGAAGTCAGCTAACTGAATACATATGCCAGCCACATTTTTTCTTTCTCCCTCAAATGGGAATCTTCCCTGAAAGCCAAAAGACCTAGTAAATACAAGAACAGTAAACAAAAACAACAGTAAATATGATTCACTATGGAGGGGGAAGACTAGTGTATGCTAAATCACTTAGCCATTATATTAACTCTATAAAGAAAATAGCATTGAAGCACAGTAATTGTCAATCGCATCTAACAAGGGGAGGGTGAGGGCACTTTGTGTAGGGACCATTGTTCAGCAAGGCACCGCAAATTTAGAAACAGGGACTGAAGAGCCCTGAGTAGTACCCCAAGCTCTGAGGGTGCCAGGGCCACCCAGAGGGGAGTGACTGAGGACCCAGTGGGGAAATTGCCTCACTGCCAGTGAGGATGCAACTAAAGAACATTCCCACCTCTCTCTTCCAGGACAAGGGAGCTGCATGGGTGTTTAGGTTAGGTGGGGCCATGTGGTATGTGTCCCAACTACTTCCTGTTACCCCAAATCTTTAGCACAATCCTAAAATAAGGGGAGCTACTTTGTGCAGTGTGAGGTGTAAGATATGTGCCATATCCAGTTGATCCACTGTGTGCAGGGGCAGTTACACAGAAGCAGAACTGCAGGCCATGGCAGAACCAGCCCCCAGGAATCACAGAAAGCTAGATCTGGCTCTGGATTCCCAAAGGACGTGGAGAAGCTTCAAAGGAAGTTAACCTAGCCTTGGAGGGCTGGGAAACCTCAGCAGCCCAGAAGACATGGGCTAAGGAGCATTATCTTCACTCTGTGACAAGGACACCCTGACTCACCCAAAGTCACCCAGCTAGTGAGAAAGGGCACCAGATCCACATCCACCGACAGAACACCACACTACACAGCCTGCCCACCCTATACCAGACAGGTCTTCTGAGTTGAAATAAGGGACAAAGACCTCAAGTCACAGTTGGAACACAAACATGTAGTGAGCACAGAGAATGAAGGGTTGTGTGAGCAAGTTAGAGCTGAGGCTTTAAAAATGCTGAGAATAGAAGAGGCACTGTAAATCACCCATTACAGTAAGGTCAAGGACAAGGGCAGGGCTCAGTAAACAGAGAAGGTGGCATAATAGTAATGGATGGAGTGAGATCTTGTTACTGTCCTGTGCACTACAGCAAAACCCACAGTTGATCCTGTGGAGGTGGCGAGTCAGGTGTTACCCCTTAATAATATGTAAGAAGAACTTACAGTATCTCTCAAGATCAGCTGCAACCTCCCAGCCCTGAGGAAGAGACAGCAGGAGCTCTTGTAGCCTGCCATGCAATCACTGGTAGCAGGACAGGGCCAGGAGATGAGGAAGAAGCCTGTGTCCCAAAGTAAGGAGGTTTGAGGAAAGTGGCCTTGATGGTGATCTTAAGCAAAACTGCCCAAGGTATGTGTGTGGGAAGATTAGCATGTGACCTGAACTCACAGATAGTGCAAATGAAATCACAAACTACCTTGAATTAGTAATGCACACTTTTCCTCTCAAAGATGCAAATACTCTTTGGCCCCCTCCAAAGCCACTGTGAGCTGCACATGTGCAGAGCAGACTCTAGACTATACGCATGGGAATGCTGAGGTCCAAGGCTGGGTTCATGGGAATGGGTCCAGGATGGGGAACCACATTTAAAATCAGACACTACCATACCAGAAGCAGCCAGGAGGTGAAGAGCTGGAGATTACTTCAATGAGCAATAGCTGAAAAACAAAGCCTGCTACCCTTTGAAAACAGCAGATGCAGAAGGGAAATAGGAGTTGCCTGTGAACCTCAGGAGACAGTCCGCAGACTAGACACCCTATTTAAGGGCTGGCTGTCCAGGGTCCAAGGGTCACAGAGAATGAGATCAGCTTAAGATGAGGAAGTGCATTTTGTCTTTGGAAGAGAACAGCAGGAGACAGCTTGCTCTGCAAAGGTGTGCATTTCCTGGCGGAGGCAAGGTGTTGTGTGGGGGCTCCCCAAGGAGGCACATGTGACTAAGCAATTACCAGTAGGACCCCTCATTTCAGAGTCTGTCCAGTGTAGTGAAAATGCTGCATCATCTGCATATGACTGAGGGGAATGATTAGCAACCCTGAATATTCAAATCAAGGTCAAAACTCAGGGAGTGGTGAGGATTAAGTACCTATGAAAAGTGAGATTTAATTTACAAAAATGGGATTTATGTTCTTTTCAAAAACTATTTCTATTTTGAGGAGAAAAGAGAAAGGAAGAAAAACAGAGGTCAGGCACGAAAAGATGGCCCTAAGCTCTCAGGAAGTAGTCCAGCAGTGAGGCAATTTCCCCACTGGGTCCTCAGCCACTCTCCCCTCTGGGTGGCCCTGGCACCCTAAGAGCTTGTGATACCTCTCAGGGCTCTTCAGTCCCTGTTTCTAAATTTGCGGTGTCTTGCTGAACAATGGTCCCTCCACTAGTTAGAGGGTCAGGGGAGCCAGCAGGCAGTGCTAGCATGGCTGCTGCTCATCAGGGATGGAACACTTTCCTGCACCTTCTAGACACTCCTGCCACAGGGGCTGACCCTTCCAAAGACTCTCTCCTCCTCTGGGGATGGGCACAACACTTTCCTCTTTCCTTCCTTCCTTGGCTTCCTCCTTCTCTCCTCTTAGCAGCAAGTGATACATCCAGGTGACATCCCAGGGGGCCTAGTCTGGGCACAATTGAGTCCCTCCTCCATGTCGGTAAGTGCAGACAGAAGCACTGAGTGCTGCCCACATGCAGTCTCTCCAGCTCTAGCTTTTCTTCTAAGCTCACGAGCCACCAGGAACCACAGTCATCTCACCTCCTATCCACACAAAGCTCAACTCACCACATGTCTGTCCAGGACCAGCCTGTCCTTGTTTATACCTCAGGGACAGTACTCTCAACTGCAGGCAATAACTGGAAAACAGCCTGCATTCCCCCTGCCTGGTTCTCTGACTGTGGGACTCTTAGGTCTAGGGCGCTAGCTCCTTAAAAGTCTTTTGCTTCTATCATTGTTCTACTCCACTGGCCCCTCCCTAGTGTATGCCAGCTGACTTTAATGGCTTCTGCCTCTGGCCATTATACTGTGGACACAATCTTTTTAAACTATAGCTCTGATTTGGATGTGGTGGTTCATGCCTAGAAACCCACCTACTTAAGAGAATATGGTAGGAAGAACCCAAGTTCAAAGTCAGTCTGGGAAATTTATTGCAACACTTAAAAAAAAGGGGGGGGGCTGAGGTATAACATTTGTCTGACATGTGCAAGACCCTGTGTTGAATTCTTAGCACTGAGGAGAAAGAAGAAAGAAGGTACAGCTCTAACCAAGAGCCTCTTATGCTTAAAATTGATAGGTTTTTTTTCAGATTTAATTTACAAAAATGGGATTTATGCTCTTTTCAAAAGCTATGTCTATTTTGAAGGGAATAGAGAAAGGAAGAAAAACAGAGGTCAGGCAAGAAAAGGTAGTCCTAGGCTCTCAGGAAGTAGTTGGGAACAAAAAGAAGGGTCTTTTGTTTTAAGGGCTTCAGCCATATTAGATGACCACTATAATGATTTTAACAACTCATACTAGGGCCAGAACCTATCAAAAATCTGGCAATGGCTTTGGCTAACATCTAAGCTGCTAGCCTGGGTGTCTAAGGCCCTTCTTGCTGTAGTTCCTACAAACTTCCTCTGCTCCATTTGACTCTCTCCAGTGCATCCTCTCCAACCGCAGTGTGCCTCCCTTCTCTCTCAGCCTTGGCCTTGAAGCCCTGTGCACTTTGCTTGGGTGCTCTCTCTGGGCCTGTTTTCCCCACACCTAGCTGGGCTCACTCAGCCCAGCCTCGCTGCCCCTGGATTCAGTGCCTTTTCCAGCTCTGCAGCCCCAGCTCCCGCTGCAGCCTTCCCAGTAAGATAGATCACCACTGTGTCTGTCTGCAGGGTAAGTGACATCATACATTCATGTTGGACTGCAATCACAAGGAGGAGAGGGTAAGAACCATGGGGAATAGAGGAACATGCCAGGAGCCCTGCTCTGAGTGCCACTCACATTTTTATGTGGAATGACATGTGGGATGTATTGCAGGATCAACTGGGCACGTTTTCGGTCCTTGTCAAGTTCTTGGAAGAGCACGCTAGGTTTGAGATCCCTTAAAAAGAAAGATATGGGTTACTAAGTATTAGAACAGAAAAACCACTCGAGGGCCAAATATTGCTTTTGCAAAATTCCATGGGGATCCAGACTTCCCTGTTCATTCACACATGCACTGTCCACAGTTGCCCTCATTCCTGCTACAATGGCAGAGGGAGTGGCTGCAACACACACAGGTCCACATCACTTAACTGGCCATTTACCACGTTTGCCAGAGCGCCAAAGGTTGCATGAGAGTTGACATGCTACTGACAGTAATACTGATGCATCTTGTTTTTTTTTGGGGGGGTGGGGGGTAGGTCCATACAACTAAGCCCAGGGCCTCTGCACTCAGTTACAATCTCAACCTTTTTTCTTTCTTTCTTTTTTGGTGCAGGGTCTCACTGTGCAGCTCGGATTCGTTGTGATCCTCCTGTTTTCAGCCTCCCTAGTGCTGGGATTACAGGCGAGTGCCACCACACCTGGACTCTAATCCTTTTTTATGCCTTTTTTTTTTTGGCAGAACCGGGGATTGAATTTAGGCCTTTGTGCTTACCAGGGAAGCACTTATTCCACTGAGCCATCTCCCTGGCCCCTCTAATCCTTTTTTAAGTTAAAATTATTTATTTATTTTTTTGTGGTACCAGGGATCAAACTCAGGACCTTGTGCTTGCCAGGCAAGCACTTATTCCACTGAGTTATCTCCCTGGCCCTGAATTAAAATTTTGGGACAGATCTCATGAAGTTGTTACGTTGCTTGAACATGTGCTCCTCAGTGCTGGTATTACAGGCATATACGACCATGGCCAGCATGGCATGCCTTTAAGTTTGCTTAGACCATGTCAGAAGATCCCCAACAACAAATCCCCAAAGCAGTTTGACGCTAGGCATTCTGCTGATAAAAACTGCAGTGTAATTGCCACACCATGTGGTTCTCATCAACTTAAAGACCTTTTTTCTCAGTCTGAATAAGAAGCAGCTAAGAATGGTCCTGCTTTGTTGCCCTTAATTAACTCTAATCGCACTGGTGTAATACAAGGATGCTAGGTGCTGCATTCTTACAGGTGTGCTGCAGCAAATGGATGGATTCTTTTTTTTTTTTTTTTTTTTGAGGAACCAGGGATTGAACTCAGGCCCTTGCGCTTGCCAGGCAAACACTTATCTTACTGAGCCATCTCTCCGGCCCCAAAATGGATGGATTCTGAGGGGGGCCTTCTGCCACGGGCCATGAAGGGGCTCTGGCTGCCCCTCCCTACCCCGATGCTCACTTTCGCAGCCAGTGGTCCTCAGGGGCGAAGCGTCTCCGGCAGTCCCGCTCATACAGCACCATCAGCCACCCATGGACAGACTGGAACAGCTCCAAGGTCTCACCCTTGGCATTCTCTATGGTACAAACAGGAGAGTCACATTTGTGGAAAGGGTGAGAAGTGGAGGAGTGGGAGGACAGTCCTTGACTTCTGAGCTCTTAGCAAGTCTTAGCTCTCTGGCTTTGAAATTTCTGTGCAACTGAAGGGATTAAAAGGCCTCCTGGGAAAGTTCTACATGTCTGCAGAGCCTGGTGTCTCTTAGACAGTTGCTCAAGCTGCTTTCTATGGTCCACCATCCAAAGGTTCTTACACTGTTAGGGAGTTTAGTACTGAACAACTAGAAACGTGTCACAAGGTGGACTCTCATCTGAGTTGTGAACTGGTGCACATTTTATCCTCATGAAAATCACTATCAGTAATCAAAAGAATCATGATAACTAGAAACATCATCAATAAGCTCTGACATATACATGCAAGTCATGAAGGATGTCTGGGAAGGGGAGGCCTGGGACTTCTGCAGTAACGCTACTGTCAGAGACAATAAAGACCTGAAATTTCTAGATATAAGGCACAGAATAAATGTGCATTTTTGATTAACTGGTAGACAGTAAGCTAAAGCAGCTGCTGTAACAGACTCTTTAGCCTCCCTCAGTTTAGCATCAATGAAATACTGAGAGACACGTTTGTTTACCTTACCTACAATTCCATCCCAGATCATCTTAAATATGAAAGAATTCAGAAAAGAGGAGATGGTGACCAGCTCTTCTACTTTGAATGAAATTTGTTCTTCATAAACTTCAATATCATCAAGGATCCTAAATCAGAGAATTATTTAGAATTTCTGAGAGACAGAATGTGAGATCTTACTGTTAAAACCTCAGACAAAATAATGTTAAGAAGTAACTATTTTTAGATCCTTCAGGTAAAATATAATGCCTGGGATTTGCTTCAGAGAAATCAGAGAGAGCAAGTAGGGACTCGATGAAGCAAAGCTGCCGAGCTGCTGATGGTTCACGGAGGTTTATTTTATTTTCTATTTATCTGTGGCTGTCTATAGTAAAAAGTTTTAAAAATTAAGAAAAAACTCTACATCTGCATTTTTCTTGCTCATAAAGATCTGTGACACTTTCTTGCTTCCTGCTTGGATTCATGCCTCGCTGCTGCCTGAACATCAAGGGCTCTGGGCTGAGTCCACGCTACGAAAGCTGTAGAACCTTCGCCTGCATCTGGGGCACATACCCTGGCACCTGACACCTCTTTGTAAGTGAATGAAGAGATGCCCAAAAGGAGACAGGGACGAATAAACTGGTGAGACACAGCTCTAACTGAAAATTTACTAAAACAACTCAATACACTGTAGAATTTGACTGTTCAGTTACTTTTGACTCAGCAATGACTGGAGTGTTCCAGCTGCTGCCGACTCTGCTGCCACCTCCACCTGTGCACTGAGCCCCTTCCTCCACCAGCTGAGCTGGCCCACCCTGACACTTACAGGTCCCTAATCCCCTCCTGCTAAGGCCTTATAGCCTGCATGTGATTGCCTGAGGTGCATCTTATCTTGTAATTTTGCACCAAAAGGTGCACTTACTGCCAAATATGTAAGCAAACATGCAAGCTTAAGGAACAAGCCAGTTACCTTCCTAGCCTCTGCCTGACACTCTACTAAGCTGCTGACATTCCTTATTTATTTAATTTTGGCAGAACTGGGGATTGAACTCAGAGCTTTGCGCTTGCCAGGGAAGCGCTTATTCCACTGAGCCATCTCCCTGGGCCCTGACATTCCTTTTTTGACTCTTTATCACACTGGTAACATTATGTCCATTCTACTAAAAAGCAAACTAGGGCTCAGAGGTTCAGCAACTTGCCTAGGGTCAGCCTGATGGTGACTGTAACAGTCAACACATAACAAACCCTTCCTGTGTGCCAGGGATGGGCTAAGCACTTGGCATTAATGATCTCTTTTGATCTTTACCTCATGCCTAAAAGGCAGATGGTGTTATTCCCATTTATAGAGGACGAAAGGGTCTCAGAGCAGGGTGTAATCCCTTAATCCTTTGCCCAGGGCATCACAGCGAATGGCTGAGCCAGGTTTGGGACCCTGGCTCTCTGACTCTAGAATTTCCCAGGGATTCACCTGGCACAGTGAATCAATGGCTGAGCCATGCTTTGAATCCATTTCTGGGAGATCCCGAAGGCCACACTTTGTGGCAAATTCAGCTGTCCTGAGAGACTGGGGCCCATTCCTGTACATCTAGCACATGCTGCCTGCTTTGTAAATGTTTTCCTGTTATCTAATCTAATCTGATCTGATCATTTTATTTTTTGAAACCCTTGAGAAAAGGGTTTCACTGGTTTGCCTAGGCAAGTCTGGAACTTAGGAGCTCAAGTGATCCTACCTTATGCTCCCAAGTAGCTGGATTATAGGCATATGCCACCCTACCTGGCTCTTGTCTAATTCTTCTAAAGACTGCCACACAGGCCCTAATATACAGTCACGGTCAGCTCTGACTTGCTTCCTGACACTAGCTTGATCTCTCTTGAGTCTAAGAAAGGTACTCAGCCCCACAGCAGACAACCTACGTGATGAGGTGCCGGGAACAGTCACAGAACAGCATCAGCATGGCCAAGAGCTGCTTGGACTCTTCAGTGTCATTGTTCAGGCATTCCAAGAAGAGCTTTAGCCCTCCGTGGGGCCCCAGCTCACAGATAAATGCCCATAGTTTGGGTAGCAGGTCATCAAGGTAAGTGAGACCTGGAAAAGGATAGAGAAACCCAAGCTTCAGGTGGAGTTCCATCGCATCTGTTGTTTCTCCTTTTCATTGGGAAAACAAAACACTTCAGTCCATTATCGATCATTTAATGTGCATGACAAGAAGGTGCAATTAGGAAAAGCATTATCACCCTGTGAATCACAATGATAATAACAGCTAACGTTCAATAGTTGCTGGCCGCGTGACATACCAGATTAGACATCTGGTATGCCTTGCCTCTTTCTGCTTGTGAAACCCAATATCCACCCACTGGTTTCCCCCAGTACTGAGACTTGAACCTGAGGGGGAATAAAGTAATTTTTTATTTTGAAATAGAGGCTAAGTTGGACATTCTGGCCTTGAATGGTCAATGCTCTTCCGCTGGCCTCCGTGTAGCTGGGATCACAGGTGTGCAACATGCTGCCCTGTGCAGTGGCACCTCCACTTTGTAGGCACAGAAGAGCTAAGTGATTTGCCCAAGACCACACTGCCACTCAATGTCAGAGCCAGGAAAAGAACCCAGATGAGGGTGAGACAGTAATTATGTTTTAACAGGGATCAGCAAGTTTTTCTGGAGAGGTGCCGGCTTCGTGGGCCAGATGGTGTCTGTTAAAATAAAAATTTGAGACAAACTGAATCTAGCAGAGTTTAATTGAAGAAAGGATGGCTGACACACTGCACAGCCCTCAGGAGCAGAAAAGGTTAGAGAGTTCTGCTGTGAGAGTGGGCAGACAGCATTTACCATAACTCAGTGCTTTCCTTATTTGAACATGCTCTGGTAAACTGGCTGCCTGTTGTTGACTGAAAACTGCTGCTATGATTGGCTTAGCCTCAGCTATTTGTTACAAAAGTATTCTCTGAAGTCGGGCTTTCAGTTAGTTTACATACTGAGGGATTGGGTGGGATGAGGTGGCCTGCTGCTTAAGGCGACAGTTTATTAGGGAAGGACTCAGTACGAAGGCATCTTCAAGCCAAGTTTAGTCTCACAGTCGTAACTACTCAGCACTGTCAATGCAGCAAAGAAGCAGGTTAACACGTGACATAAATGAATGGGTTGAGCTATGTTTTAGTTAACAATTATTTACAAAAATAAGAAGTGACTGGGCTTGACTCATGGGCTGATCCCTGCCTTAAACTGTCCTGCAGGCTCACCCTCACTTAGCAAAGTTTTCCTCTCAACATTCCAAGTCAGCTTCCTGACAGCTAACAGGCCTTAGACACATGAGGTACATCTCCGGTATATATATATATGGAACTGGGGATTGAATTCAGGCCCTTGTGCTTGCCAGTGAAGCGCTTATTCCACTGAACCATGTCCTCAGCCCCCCACCTCTGGTATACTTTAAGTCTAATAATGGAGACAAGGAGTGACTTAGAAAGTCTGGATCTGAAAGTGCATATATAGCAGGGGCATGTTTCTCAGAAGAGCTGTCTATGTGAGCCCTTGCAATATTTACAAATACCTGCTTCTAACAGAAGCAGTTACTTCTCATCTTACAGAGTACAATGCATTATTTAGTTGTGAGAGAAGAACTGTTTGGGGAAGATACAATAGTCTGGGGGTGGCATGTGGAGAAGTCAAAGCTACTTAAGGGTGCTTAGAGTTGAACTAAAGGAATCATAAAGGAGGCCAAGAAATGTAGCATTCACTGAGTTACTACTCCTAGAAGTTCTCACTTTCAAGGATAGGAAGATGGAGTTATAAAGAAGCCTTTAAAATGCAAAAGTTTCTTCCCCAGGTTGGTGGGTATACAGGTGCTCAGCTCAAAGTTTAGGTAGTCCACGTTGTACCACACACACTAAAGAACACACGAGCCTCATAATTTAATACAGGCTAAAAAAGAGACAGTAGTTATGTTGTGGGGATTATAAAGAAGAAAAGCAACTGTCCTCACATCATGTGCTACCCATGATGCAGGCAGAAAGAGTCACAGCCACAAACTCCAGCTCAACAGAGACAGAAGTGGGGAGGCAGATGTCAGGGGAACAGAAGAGCTCCAGTGCCGCCGGGGTACACGAGGAGCAGGAGCAAAACGGGAGAGTAAAGACATGCTGTTTTTAAACAAGCATGTTATTTTCTGTAATTTGACTTATGAAGTATATAGTGAAACTAGGAGACTGAGTATCACACACATATTTTAGGCTAGTCTTTAGTTGTAAAAATACACTTTCATGTTGGTCAAAACCCTTATTTTTGGGTTCTCTAACTAGAGAAAATAAACTCTTTTTTTTTTGTGGTACCAAAAATCGAATTTAAGACCTTGCACTTGCCAGGCAGGCACTTGTGCTGCTCAACTGTATTTCCAGCCCCTGGGAAAATGAACTTAGATGTCAGCTCATCTTACAAACCAGACACAGGCGGTACCCTCAGACTCCTTTTAGCCAAGATGCTGCCAAACCTGCAGGTGCAGAGAAGCACCTGGCACGGTGTCCTCTCTCCCCTCCTGTATCTCTTTTTGGAACCTGCTCCAGGCCTTACATGCCATTTCTCCACTCCTACCCTAATGGCATACTCAGGTGTCCAGACACCTCTGCCTATTCCTGTCACAGCCTACCACTACTCTCAAGTCCCTGCAAGCCATGTCCCCATATGCGCTTCCTCAGCTTAGCAAATGGCACCACCATTTACACAGGAGTTTGGGCCAAAAACTAAGCACTACTTTTGAAACCTTTAGTCACTGTGCGCCCAAATTTAATCTACCAGGAAGGTCAGACACTGCACCCCTAAAACACATCTGAAACCTATCTCCACCTCCATCACCCTTACTAGGCCAACAATGATTCTGCCAAATCCCCCTCAGGAGGCTTTGGGCCATGTCTGGAAACGTGCTCGGCTGTCACAGCTTGGGTAGTTGGTCAGGAGCTGGTGGGACAGGGGCTGGTAAATATCCTACACTGCACAATAGCCCCTAGAACAAAGAATCACTGGTCCAAAAGACCAACACTGCCAACGCTGAGCAACTCTGCTCTTATCTACACCAGCAGACTCTCCTTATTTTCAGTTTCCCGAAGTGCTCATTGTTTTAGGCGATCTACTCTTTACCTACATATTGGTGTCTCCCCACTACTAGAATATACTTCTCTTGGGGGCAGAGATCTGACTAAGCTGTCAACCTCAGAATCCTCAGTGCTTTGCAAGCACAGGTATTTTATAAGTAAATGAAGAATGAGTAAGTGTGAAAAGCAGAAGCAGCAGTAATGCCAAGAGTTCTCAATCCTTTCAGTAGTGACTGGCTTTCAGTTTTCAAGGACTTTTGTACTCATAATACCAATGCTCCCTACACTGCAATTCAAAAGCCTGCAATGCCCAATTCTGTGCTCATAGAACTTTCTCTTGCTCAGCTAAAAAGGAAAATCCTTAGCTTATCCCTGCGATGAGACACCGTGCAGTCAATAAAAACGAGGTTTCTGAAGGATTCACATAATAAAATACTAATAAAGTGATCAGTGGAAAAGGAGAGGGGGCTGGGGAGATGGCTCAGTGGAATAAGCCCTTCCCTGGCAAGTGCAAGGACCTGAATTCAATCCCCAGTTCCGCAAAAAAAAAAAAAAAAAAAAAAAAGAAAAGGAGGCACAGAATGGTGTGTGTTGGTTTAAATACACTTATATGTGTGTAAGGCACTCAGGAATGGGAGTGGGTTATGGGATCAAGAGTGGTGCTGAAAAAAAAAAAAACCCAGAATGGTGCTGTGTTTTGTTTTTGTTTCCCTATCTTTTCTACTCAGAAAAAATAAGTTTTTGAAAGCTGTGCTTCATAAACAAGAGCCAGGTAAGGAACAAAACAGAAGCGCTCTGAATGAGCCTGGCTCGAGCTACTGAAAGGAAGCTTACTGATCTCTTAAAAAAATAATTAAAAATTGCCCTCCATCAAAATCAACTTTCTTCTTTGGATTACTTGTCAAGGAAACCAGATGAAAATGAAAGGGCAAGTTCTGCTAAGCAAAGCAGTCCGCTGAATCTAAAACATGGGCACTGCAGCTGTGGGATGCCAGACCTGTGAGTATCTGTAGGCGGATCTGGGTCAGAGTTGTCAGGGAGGTCTGGTAGAGGACGCAGATGTTGCAGACCTTCTGGACCTCTGCAGAGTCGACACGCTTACCCCCGACAGGCCTGAGAATATTCCGAACGGATGCAGACTTCTGAAATGCACGCTTGAGGAGGCCTGGCAGGGAGGGAAGAAGAAATGCAAGCAGAAGTTCAGCCATCTGCCAGATCCCACCAGGCCAAGGGAAGAACATTTCAACAGAAGTCCACACTCACAGACAGGGCCAGCTGGTGGGGCAGCTGCTTGGACTGGACATTTCTCTGGGGGCTGGGCATTGGAGGGCACACCTGCAATCTTGGCACTTGGGAGGCAGAGACAGGAGGGTCACCACAAGTCCAAGGGCTACCCAGGCTACAGAGGGAGTTTGCAGCCAGGCTGACCTGCATAGTGAGACCCTCTCAAAAGAACTGAAAAAATAAAGAGACATTTCTTTGGGATAAATCAGAAAAGACTAATGATGGAATTTTCTGGTATAATCCAGCAACCTCTTCAGAATATCAGAAAATCTTGGGCTGGGGAGACAGCTTAGTGGAATAAGTGTCCTGAGTCTGAGTTCAATCCCTGATACCACCAAAAAAAAAAAAAAAAAAAAAGAAAAAAAAAGAAAATCTTTCAGAATAAGCCAGGCCTACTCAACTTTGACCTGTGAATCTTTTACTCTACTAGCTAATTTCAGAACTCACAAAAGTAAAAATTTAGGGAACCATGTTAGAGGAAAAGAGTAAAAGGCACAGTGTCAATGTTCCCTGCTTCTGGAGGGAAGTGAAATGTAATACCTTCAAGGTCTAACATCTGCTTCTGGACATTCTACTATTTTATTTTATTTTATTTTATTTTATTTTATTTTATTTTATTTTATTTTATTTTAGGGAAGGGTCTACAGGGTGTTCAGGGTCTCACTACTACATCAGACTCATAGGATCTGCCTGTTTACAGCCTCCCAAGAGTTGGGATTATGGGCGTGCATCACCACACTCAGTCTCAATTGCCATCTCAGTGTGCTCTGGGGGCAGGGCTGGCACAGCAGGCCCAGGGACTGAACCCCTGGCCCCTGTGCCTGTCTGTAGGTGCTTTAGTCTGCTGAGCTATTTGGCCAGCCCTTTACTTTTGATGAAAGCCTTCTCGTTTACATCCTGTCAAAGCTGTATCTGGAAAGCCCATACTCACTGTTACCTAGAAGACAGCCATTTATGCAATGTATAAAGGACAGAAGAAAACCACTCTGAAACTGAAAACCTGCGGCACATGGAATATTTCAGATTACATATTCCTATTCCTGCCATTCTGTCTGTCCTCTGTGCTCTTCTGCCCACCCACCTTTCTTTCTGTACAAGGGACTGAATTCAGGGCCTTTGTGGAAAGCTATATTCCCAGCCTTTTCACTAAAATTTTATTTATTTATTTTTTGGTGGAACTGGGGATTGAACTCAGGCCCTTGCACTTGCCAGGGAAGTGCTTATTCCACTGAGCCATCTCCTCAGCCCCCTAAAATTTTTTTAAAAAATCTTTTATTCATTTATTTCACTCAGGGTCTCACTATGCAGCTCTGACTCATAGTGATCCCCTGCACTTGGATTACAGGCGTGAACCACTATGCCTGGTTCTGGTGTGGCATGCAGTACCGGGGATTGAACCTGGGTCCTTGTGCTTACTAGGTAGGCGCTTAGACAGCCAAGCTATCTCCCCAGTCCCCCTCTTCATTTTTGATATAGTGCCTTGCTAAGTCACCAGGCTAAGACTGAACTTGTGATCCCCCTGCCTCAGCCTTCCAGAATGCTTGGATAACAGTTGGGTATGCCATTTTGCCTGGCTTGCATTTCCCTGACTTTGATCAGAGTGGGCAGCAAGATCTATCCAGGGTATTCACTTCTGACCCTGCAGGAGGGGTGCTGGCCTGCTCTGTGACTCAGTGGCTTCTTTATGAGAAACCCCACATGGGAGTCATTTTATCATTAAAACTTAGCAAAGTACCATATCCCCTAAAAAGCAGGTCTTTTTCTTTCTTTCTGGTAATGAGAAAGGGTCTACATAACCCACTGCAAAGCTCATGGCCAAACTAAGCTCAGACAGGCACATGGTCCTTACAGAATAGTTATCAGTGGATAGTCTATGTCCATGATTACTGATTTATAGCTCCCTGGCCTCAGTGTTTTGTTAAACACAGACTTAAGCCTCGGAGTCTCTGTGGGAAGTTAGAGCATGGCAGGCAGTGGAACAGCCACTTGGAAGAGTCAGAGCTGCCCCTGGGCCTAGTAGAGCCTGGTAGGCTGGCTTGGCCACCCACTTTTCACTGGAAGCACGTTCTGCGGAGACGCCGGCTGAGCAGGGGCTGGCTCTTGGTGCTCCAGCAGCTTCTTGCTCAGGATGTCACTGAAGAAGATGCGGATGAGAGGCACTCCCCACAGGAACTGCAGCTGTCTGGTGACCAAGTGCATTGACTCGTTGAGGCTAGGAGAGAGCAGGAGACAGGCACGTCAGCTCCACCAGTGCCTGACTAGGGACAGCCTACTCCACTTCCCAGTGAGCCGTCCACTTGGAGGTGCAGCTTAGGCCTTGTACTCAGTACAGAAGAAAAGATACTATGAAAAATAAGAAACGGAACCAATGAACTATCACTGAGGGCTAGAGGTACTGAAGGCACTGAGTCTCTATCTGTCCATCATGGTGCCCAAACTTCCTGAGCTGCCACAAGCATTACTGGTTCTCCCAGACCCACAGACTCCTTGTGTCCCAGACATCTTGAGGACAGTTTCCTATTGCCGGATGGACAAAAGCCTTCTCAGGCTGGCTGTGCTGCCTGCCTTCTGGTTGGGCTGCAGCCGTGGGCCCAGATCTCACTGACTCGGCCTCCTCAGCATTTCCTCACCTCTGGGTCTATTCCCTACTGTAGACTGCACCCCAGTTCCACCCTCATTGCTGGACCTTCTTACGTCCCTTTAGTGCTCAGACCCTAAACTGGCTCTCACTATTGTCATGAAGGCGACAGCCTCCACCTACAGAACACACTCTGGGCCTAGGAGCAGGCCTTTCCGCAGTCTTGTCTGATCCTTCTGGAGGCCCTCTGATGACTGTCTCCCATTGCAAGTGAAAAAGCCAAGGTGAAGCAATCATCCAAAGGCACTCAGGGAACAACAGGCAGGGAGCTGAGATCCTACTGTCTAAGAAGGGGCGGTGTTGCCCCATCTAGTTCCCCGATACCCCTCCAGACTCCAAGCACACATCACAGGTGGGGACATCATGATGGGTGGCCTGTCCTAGCAATAGTTTTTTAAAATGAATAGGACTCAAGGATGCCACTTAGGTATAAGGAAAGGGAACAAATCCAGGGATTCCCTCCCCTACCCCCACTGCCTGCTAGGGACCCCACGCCCTAGCAGACATCTGACTAGAAAAGAGCTGGATGTCAGTGACCTTAGCTTCATCTCAGCCCAGCAACTCATGTGTGTGATGCTGCCTTACTTGATCTGTAGTCTTCCATGCTAGCGTTTGTAACACTTTAGAGTTCTCAATTAAAATGTTGAAAGTTCATATCCCATTTCTTGAAAAGGATCTAGGGTAACTATGAACCATTTGCCTTTTTTCAGTATCTCCAAAATAGGGTAATCCAATCAATCAGTGAAAGGGATACTGAAGAAAAAATACCACTAGATGAGGTTCATAACTTGAAGATCTTTGGTCAGTGTCAGCCATCTGGATGTTTCTCTAGGTGACTCTCCTTAGGCCCACTATACATCGTCAATCACTTTCCTCTGTGGCCCCATAATCTCCTTGAACAGAAAATTTGGGACACCACTGAGTTACAGGATGTTACAGCACAGGTTCTCTTTTGTCCTGAGTCCTCATTGACCTTGAAGGGTCATAACTTAATAATGAAAAGAAGAAAATGCAAAATCTTTTTTTTTTTTTGCTCCGCATGCCTTCAGGGCAGGTTTGGCTGGCTTGAGTTGTGGGGATCGAACCACAGCAACCTGAGCCTGATTGCTTTGTTGAAGCAGCCACTTAAAGAACTGAGCTAAGGGGCAGGCCCCTAAAATGCAAAATCTTACACTCACTTTAATAAAAGAGTATCAGCACACAAAAAGATGGAATTTTATTTTCTTTTGGTATCTCTATCTTGTACAGGGAAGACACACTATTTTTGTTCTAAGAAATAAAACAACAAAAATGGAGGAAAAGAAGGGGAAGTAGTAGGGAGACAGACAGACAGCAGTGCTTACCCGTAATCCACAGATTGGGAGAACCAGCCGAGGACAGGATGCCAGTGGGTCAGGTTGGATTTCTTCTGGGACACATACTTCTGACAGTAGCACAACATCTGGGTGAGCAAGCTCACGAACCCATCTGTTTCCTCCTCTAGCACCTGGGGGCTGAGGGAGCCCAACTGTAGGATGTTGCCTGCAAAGAGAGAAGGCGGAGCCCTGCTCTGCCTGCACAGGTAGCTGCAGCGTAGGTGCAGAGGGGAGTCCGTGTGAGCAGACCACAGCACAGTGCAGAAGCCAGAAAGAGGTGAACCTAAGCTCAGGTCTTGGCTCTGCTGCGGATGAGCTGCCCAGACCTCAACCTACCTCTTGAATCTGTTTCCTTATCTGCGAGACTGGAATGATTCCCACTCTCCAAGAGTATTATATTAAAAAATATAAAATGTCAGATTCACAAAGGTATATGATATTCACTTAGCATAACACCTTAATTACCATTATAAGAATGACACAAGAAATGACAATAACTTACTGTCTTGGGAAATCACTCTTCCCAATGTTTACCAAAGTGCTTTAATACCCCTTGGGAGAAGTCTCTGGTCAGATACATCCCTTGCAATTTAGCCACAAGAATCTTTTCCCGTCTCAATTTCTCTTCAGGGATTGAAAGTTATGCATCTGCACTGTTTCTAAGTAATTCTCCCCTTAACCCCTCCTTTGTTGATAATGGTAACATTGTGAAACAGGTAAAGCAGGTATTACTCTGATCTAAGCCCCACCTAAGCATCCCCTCTTTTCTCCCTTGAAATCTAAATTATTTGGCAACTCACGTTTTCATTTTTCCCTTAATTGTCAGAAAGCCAAAGGCTGAAATCGAATATCCACCTACAGTCCATTTCCATATAATTTTTAATTTTACATGTCTACTTTAACTGGATACACTTTTTTTTTTTTTTTTTTTAAATAGTAAGCACTTGAAACTGTTATCCAAAACCATGACTAATATCTAAACAGGTGAAAAGCAAAAGATTTGGGCTTCTTCTGCTGGCCTGAATCAAATTCTAATCTTTTATGTATGCATTTGGTGCAGGGTCTCACTACGCAGCTTGGACTCATAGTGATCTTCTTATCTTAGCCTCTTCCCCAGTGCCAGGATTGCAGGCCTGTGCCACCACGCCCAGTTTCAGAGGGTGGCACAGTGTGGGGAGCCGGCATGGCATGTAGTACCAGTGATCGAACCTAGGTCTTTGAGCTTGCCAGGGAGGCACTTAGACTACTGAGCTACCTCCCTGGCCCCAGAATCAAATTCTAACTACCGATACTCACCCATTACACAGAGCGTATGGCATCCTTCTAAATTTTCACATATATCAAGGCATCGATCTTCATCTCTTAAAAATATGATGAATTTACGAAGCATGTCATGAGATTCTAAAACCGTGAGACACTGCAAACAATGGGAGACGTTAGGTGGGAGAGGCGTGACCTCGAATGTTCTCGGATCTCTCCCCAGGTATGTGGCACAGGTTCCAAGCACCGAGGAGAACAAGGACAAAAATGAGAACCTGCTTCTTTGGGCAGCTCACATAAATGTGCCCACAGTGGCTACTGGCTTAGAAGAAAAGTAGGGAAGGAGTGAGAAGTAGCAGAGAAATCATTTTAACTTTTTTTTTTTTCAGAACCGGGGATTGAACTCAGGCCCCTGCGCTTGCCAGGGAAGTGCTTATTCCACAGAGCCATCTCCCCGGCCCCTTAACTTTTTTTTTTCCCCCATAATTTTATTGCGCCCTTAATTTTTAAATAATGAGAAGAAAAAACCCAAAAACCACTTCGGCTTTTTGGGGAAATTCATGAAGTCCACTTACCTCAGGGGTCACGGTACTGAGATGAGTCACGAGCGCAGGCACAGACATGACGTGGATGAGGAACGGCCGGATCAGATTGTCGGAAAACTGTGCAGCGACCACAGGGCTAGACACAGACAGGGCGGTGTACTCAGGCAGGGACATAAAGAGCGATCCCGACAAAGCCCTCCAACTCCTAGAAATTATGCTTCCCAGGACTTCTGGGAAAACGACAGGCTGAAAATGGTGATGTCCACCAGGGGAATGGTTATGCCCATGACAGTAGAGCCATATGACACAAGACTGTACAGCTATGAAAGACCAGTTTGGGCTCAGTGTGGTGGTGCATGCCCATAACCCCAGCACTCTGGGAGGCCGAGGCAGGAGGATCACAGCTCTGAGCCACTACTGGGCAATCTCGCAACTTAATGAGACTCTGTCTCAAAATAAACACAAAAGGGCTGGGGATGTAGCACACAGCAAATGTCCTAAGTTCAGTCCCACTATCACACACACTCACAGAAAGAAAAGTTAATTTTGGAGTTTTACTGACATGAGAAAATGTTCATGTTGTACAAAATTGTAAGACACACATGTAAACAAAGACATAAACAGGAGAGGAAAAGGACTTCTGGAGGATCTTATTAGAGTCACATTTTCAACTGACTGGTGCTTACCAAAGTGCCCACTTGATGACTCATCAATAATTCATACTTTACTTTATTTCAAAATATACATAGTCTGATACTTTTATAACTATAATCTCCCCCACCTTCTACCCTCCACCCCCCATACGGGTTCTCCCTGGCCCCCCCGCCCCACACTGGGAATTGAACCCCGGTATTGTCTGTCATCCAACTACATCTCTAGCCGCTTTTATTTTTTTATGTATTTAGTTCAGGGTCTGCAGGGTCTCACTACATAGGCTGGACTTGTAGTGATCCTCCTGTTTTTAGCCTCCAATGCACTGGGGTTACAGGCACACCATCACACCCAGTCTCAATCGCTATCTCAGCCTGCCCCAGGGGTGGGGCCAGCACTGCACACCAGGGATCAAACCTAGGCTGCTGTGCTCTGCCTAAGCAGGTGCTTAATTCTGCTGACCTATCTGGCCAGTCCTATTCTAGCCACTTTTATTTTTTAGTTTGAGATAGGGTATCTCTAAGGTATTCAAGCAAGACATGAGCTTGGGATCTTCCTGCCTCAGCCTCCAGCAGTGCCAGGATTACAAGCCAGGCATATGCCACTGTGTGCAGCCTTAAACTGCAGAACTCTTAGAAGAAAACAAATATGTCTTTATGACATTAGGTTATACAATCACTCAGGTAAGATACACTGAAAGCAGACAAAAGCAAACATAGATAAACTGAATTTACTAAAAAAGAAAAATTGTGGGCTGGGGAGGCTGAGACAGGAGGATCATTAAGAGTCACAGCTGCATAGTGAGACCCTGTACCAAATAAATAAATAAGTTAAAAAAAATCTGATTGAAAAGACACCACATGAAAAGTTCAAAGGCAACCTACAAAGTGAGAGGAAATATTTTCTAATTATATATTTTAGGGAGCTTATATCCAGAAGATAATAAGCACACAAAAAAATGGCCAACATCCCTAGCCATCAAGAAATTTCAAATCAAATGACAGTGAGATACCACATCACATTTACCTGGAGACCTACCAAAAAAAAAAAGAAAAAGAAGGAAAAGAAAAAAAAAGACAGATAACAAGTGTTGGTGAAGACGTGGAAAACAGGAACTTGCATACATTCCTGAAGGGAATATAATATGGCACAGCCATTTTGGAAACAAGTCTGGCAGGTCTTCAAGAAGTTCAGCACCCACGACTCTGCCATCCTACTCCTAGATGTACACCCAAGAGAAATGCAAACGTAGGACACAGAAGCTTATATATAAATGTTCATAGTCACAAATTCTTAATAGCCAAAGAATGGAAACAGCTCAGATGTGGAAAAACTATACAATGGATTATTTGGCTGTAAAAAGGAATTAATTTCCAACTCATGGTGTGATATAATTGAGCCTGAACACATCATGCAAAAATGAGGAAAGGGGGGCTGGGGAGATGGCTCAGTAGAATAAGCACTTCTGTCAAGTGCAAGGGTCTGAGTTCAATCCCCGGTTCCACTAAAAAAAAAAAAAAAAAAAAAGAGGAAAGGCGGGAACAAAAGACTGTATGGTTCTATGTGCGTGAAATGATGAGAAACAGGCAAGCCCAAAGGGACAGAAAGTCACCAGCTGCCAGAGGCTAAGGAGAGCACAAGGGAGAGCGGGACTGACGAGATGGAGCGGCTTCTTCCGCGGGTAGTGAAAGGCTCTCCCAACTGGACAGTCGTGATGGTTGCACAGCTCTATGAATACACTGCACACGAGTGAGCTGTGCACTTTGTGTGAAATATACAGCACTAATTATTTTATTTTTCTGTGTCATTTTGAGACAGGGTCTCGCTATGCAGTTCAGGCTGGCCTTGCGCTCCCTTTATACCCCAGGCTGGTCTCGAACTTGCATCGATCCTCCTGCCCCTGCCTCTTGAGTATAGTGATTACATGTGCACCACCATGCCCAGTGTGAATTATATTTTAATGAAGACTTTAAAAAAAAAAAACCTATCACTTGAGAGACCAGGTAAAAAGATAACAAGAACTTACAGGGGAAAAAATGGTTTTTAGCTAATGTGTGCACAATGTTACTGATAGTCACACCACTGGAATTCGTATCACACACTTTTGCTTTCTAGAATATACTTAAAAAATTTTTTTTAGAGATGAATATTCCAACAGCAACTGAAAACCCACTTATCACAAGGTGCCAGCACTGCAATTAAATCTGAATACTAAGGTTTAATCAGTATTAGGTTTAGGGAAAAAAACAAAGCAAAAATAACCCCTCATACATTAACATCTTTGTGTTACAAGAAAACATGTGTGTCATAGGTTTGCTACCAGTTCTAACCACTGCTTTCCCAGTGGCTCCATGGAAAACGACGCCAAGGGGTGCTGACAGACACGTTTCACCATCCAGAAATGAGACTGGGCCATTCCATGTCTGCATCTGTTTGGGCTGACATCCCATGAAACAAGCATAAGGGCTCTTGTGCCCATGACGGAACTTGTTCTCAGCGCTTCCAGTGAGGTGTGCTGTGGATCTGCAGGAGCGGCAGGGCAGGGGGCGCCTCCCAAGCTGCCTTGACCTGGCACCTTTTCCTCAGGAGTTCTTACCTGCTCCCAAGCCAGCGATCCAGTTTATGACTATTTTGGACCCACTGAGTTTGACATCTGATAGTTCCTGGAACTCTCCAAGGAAACCTTTTGTTTCTTAGGTACTGTCCATCAATAAACTGATTAAGTGAGGGCAAGTATCACAGCCTCGCTGCCCTTCCCTCCCCCAGCATTCCAGTCTGTGCTCTAACATGAGGCCTCTGTCTATTTGCTTGCCCCGGGCCAAGCCTCTGCCAGCTCCTAGGTTTCCTTTATTTGGTCAGTTAAGAACTCAAGGGAAAAGTGAGTACATCTGGCCACCGGCAGCCTGACACAATTCATTCTGAATACTTTCCCTCAGATCACACTGCGAAAGTACTCATGGGTACAGACAGGCGACTCAGCATTTCTTACCGCAGTGCTAGAGAGAAGGCCGCTGTTAGAGTGCCTTTGAACAGACAAGGCCGGGATCTGGCCAGGCCTCGGGTCAACAATACCTGAAAGCAACATTTAACTGGTCAGAGGACAATACCAATTTTGTAGATGTTTATGTAATAAAAAAAGCAAATACTATAAAAAATAGAAGCAAAAATTGAGTATAGAATTTTATTCTACTATTGAATCTTTACTTTAAATATATAGCTTTTTTGCTTGTTTTTGAGACAAGGCCTCACTATGCAGGACAGGCTAGCCTTGAACTTACAATGGAGTCCTGGCAGGCCTTGAATTTGTGGTGATCCTCCTTCCTCAGCCTCCCAAGATAGGATTACAGGAATGTGTTATTAAACATAGCCTTAAATATTATATTAATAATCAGATTAAAAAAAACCCACCCAAACCTAACAGTTGAAAGCTGGGTTCGAGGGCACAGACCTCTGGTGCCAGGTATCAAGAGGCTGAGGCAGGAGGATCATTGCAGTCCAGGGGTTCTGAAGAGCGTCAGCAACATCAAAATCTTATCTCAAAGAAAGAAAAAGCCAGGCACACAGTGCATACCTAGGAGGCTGAGACTGAAGGATCACAAATTGAAGGTCAGCCCCATGAAACTTAGCTACAGCCTATCTTAAAACAAAAAATGGAAAAGTTTGGGGCTGTAGCTCAAGGAAAAAAAAAAAATCATCAGCTAATAACAACAATACTGACTTCAATTTCAAGACCATGTTAGTGAGAAGTGGTTCAAGTAATAGTATCTGGCAGAGGTTTCATCTACTGAGATAACCTGTGTGCAGATCACCTTTTGTTATCACACTACCTCATAGGGTTATTATTGAGCAGAACCAGCAACGAAAGCAGGAAGCAGCCCACTGCAGGGGCAAGCGGAAGGGCAACAGCACACAACTTCTCCAACCCAAGAATTCCACAGCACTTTTAAACAGAACCAAGCCTGTGGGGTGGACAGAAGGCCATTGGAGGGCACAGAACTAGAAATTCCAGACACCAACAAAGAAGGCACCTGAAGGAACAAGACATGAGACCTCCTTCCTGAGTTTAAATTTCAAAAGAATGGGTCACCCTTGAAGCTGAAACTCTATCATCCTTGTTACAGGGATCCCAACACCACTGTCCCTCTTTCCCTGGAGCACTGGTGACCCAAGGCAGGGAAAAAGAAGGACACTGGGCATTAAACTCTTCCTGCAGAGTGTTTCTATGTGAGAGCATCAGATGGGTGCAAAATCTAACTTCAGGCACTGAGGAATGGTGGGCACATCTTAGGGGGTGGCATCGCATACCTGCAACACAGAATAAAATCCATGCTGGTTGAGATGTCCCATTATATTCGCACAAATGTGGTTCATGGCAGGTCGAAGGTTCTCACCTAAATGAAGAAAAAAGTTTGAAAAAAAAAAATCTTGCCATCATGTAACTTGTTTAATTTGGCCAGAAGATTATGCCCCAGTTCCAAGACTGTAAGGAAACGTGATACTGACTGGCTTGGTTCCGAGCCCTTCCGTCTCGTCGGAACACACAGGGAAGCTCTGCTTATTCTGATTCTCTCTCTCCTGGAAGGCCTGGGTCCAGTGTCATTTCTTGGGTGCTGGGTCCCTTCCTTCCTCCAGGGAGAAGGAATGTTGCTGGCCTCCTAGCTCCTCTCTGTGCTAGGGGGTAAATTCCCTGCAGGGCTCAGAATTCAACAAGTTTTTATTTTATTTTTTTGGTGGTACCAGGGATCAAACTCAGGACCATGTGCTTGCCAGGCAAGCACTTATTCCACTGAGCTATCTCCCAAGCCACATTTTTTTTTTTTCTTGGTGGAACCGGAGATTGAACTCAGGCCCTTGTGCTTGCTAGGCAAGTGCTTATTCTACTGAGCCATCTCCCTTACAACAATTTTTATTAAAAAAAAAACCTTTTGAACAGGGTCTTGCTAAGTAGTTTAGGGTGGCCTTGAGCTCCTATGTAGCCCAGGCTGGATTCAAACACACAGTACTCCTCCTGCCTTAGCTGCCCGAGTGCTGCAATTACAGGCATACAACACCACACCTGGCTCAACAATTTTTTAGGTCCTTGCGAGAGTCTAGGATGTCTACAGGAAACCCTCCTTGCTCGTCTGGAGCTTCTATATACATAGCTCTCCTGCTCTCAGTCTCTCCCTCCTCCTTCACTGTCAACACTCCCTTTCCCTTTGGCTCTGAGTGCAGACATCACTCCTTTAGGGAACTGAGCCTGAGGCCAGGAAAGGTTTCCTGGGTGTTGGGTCCCTTCTTTCCTCCAGGGAGAAAGATGTTGCTGGCCTCCTAGCTTCTCTCTGTACTAGGAGGTAAATTCCCTGCAGGGCTCAGAATTCAACAATTTTTTATTTGTTTTATTTTTTTGGTGGTACCAAGAAAATACCAGAGATATTCAATCCTCATGAATACTCTCACTCTTTGAGACTCTTCCTTCCAAGCACTTCCCGTACTTATTATCACTTATAGATGCATTTCAGATACAGCATTTGTCCAGACTGATTCCAAAATTTCTATCAAATTCCACAGATGCTCTGGTCTGTTTTATAAAATGCTGTAATATTTGTGTAGACCCTGCACACTTCCTCCTGCATACTTCAAGTCACTTGTAGATTATCTGTAACTAATCCAATGTAAATGTTATGTATATATTTGTTAAAATATATTGTTAGGGAGGGACAAGTAGAGACTTGTCCCTCCTTGAATACATATACATACATATATATATATATATATATATATATATATATATATATGTTCAGTACAGATATAATTTATTTTTCAAATATTTTGGTTGATGATTGGTTGGCTGTACCCATGGATAAGGATCCTTCAAACATGGAGGGACAACTATGTGTGAGTAACCCCTCCTTAACATCTCTACACTCTAAGCCCTGTAAGAATGACAGCATCTCTGATCACTACAGGGCAATTTTCTGTTCTTCTCATCAGAGTATTCCCAGTACTTGTGGGAACACAGTGCCCAGCACACAGTAGGCTATCAGCTGAATGGATGAATAAAAAGGAATCTATGAAATACATAAGGCTAAGGTAGCTTTACAGTATAAATTCTATGGGCAAAATAGAATTATTTGCTGTGTAATGATTTTCCACATGAAATGAGAAAATATAAATGACCATCATCATTTACAGGATGAGGCAGTGTGGGAATTGTAAAAAAATGACATCAGAAGAATCGCGCCTTTAAATCTAAGTTTAACAGCAGAGAGTGTAACAGACGACACGGCCACACTCTGGCTCCTGCCACACGGTCTGCTGGGAGGCTCCAAGGACATCTGTGTAGCCTCAGAGCCTTCCTTGAGGCTCATGGTTGGAATCCCACTTCTGACACAGGAGAGGAGGTGCCCTGTCTTCTGTGCAAATGCCAGTCAGGAAAGATTTTGAATGTCACGCAATTCCCACCCACCTTTTCCTCGGAGAATTTTCCATGTGGAAGTATCTGTGAAGGTGACAAGCATGGTGAGGTACAGTGTGATGAGTTTGGAGTCTTGTAAGATTTCAGGCTGGAAGTAGTAAAAAGAGGAAGATTAAGACTTGTATTTTCTAATCCCACTCCGTACAGCACCCATTTTACAGCTTTCTCGGGGCACTCAGACTAGGACAGCTGAGGCAGGACTACATATCCATTCTTTTTCTCTTGGGGAACAGCCACTGTGGAGCCAGATGGTGAGGACTTTGTCACATTAGCACTTACCCACGCAACCATTCTTGGGAATGCAGCACTGACCACTCTCTGGAAACAGGAAGACAGGGCTGGATAACCGTATGTGCATATGCCTGCCTGCGTGTGAACACTGTAGCAACTGGAAAAAGGCAACTGAACCTAAGTGGGGGTCTAGGCTCTGACTTCTTGTTTCACTGTTTATCAGCTATGTCATCCTGGGCCAGTCTCTTAAGCTCTCTGTGCTTAATTTCCTCATCTGCTGACTAGGAATAGTAACATGGTTTCCTCAGTGGGGTTGTTGTGAAGAACAAATGGATCAATGCATACAAGCACCATCCGTATTGCCCAGCACATGGAAAGCTTGCACGTTGTTGGTTATGATTATGACTGTTCACTGTTTCAACAGAGTAGGTCAGGCAAGACGCCTGACTGCTTTCCAGGCTCACAGACCTAAGCACACACACCAGGAAGGAGCCTGCAGCCCATGAGCTCAAAGACTAAGCTCATAGGGAATAAGGGAGGATAGTGGCCTGGCCAGGGACAAGGGAGAAACTGACACAACAGAAGTACACTTAGGTCTTCCTGGCTCCAGACTCAGAGCTCTTTTCTCCTAATATCCACTTCTACACACAAACTATACATATGTTTTTAGACTAGCAGAACCTCTTCTAAAAGAGAAACTGTTAGGGAATACAGATACAAACAGCAGGGAAAAGGATCTGCCTGGCTCAAGTGGAGGCAGGGGAGGCATGTGCTCGCCTGGCCCAAGGCATTCTAGCACAGCCTCAGGGCTCCACGGACCAGGGTGTGAAGACCACTTTTCCACGCCTCATGCCATGTCTGACAGGCTGCCTGTGGCTCGTTCACTGCCTTGGGTGGGTTGTGATTAAGACTCATCTATGAACACCACAATAGTGGGGGATGAGGCAGATCAGGGACATTTGTTCCAGTATGCAGGTAAAACCTGGGTCCTTGAAAAGCCTTTATCTCTGAAGCTTCTGCCTCCACAGGCACAGGACCAGCCTGGCCCAGGAGCAGTAGCACTTTGCTCTCCCCACTCTGGCTGCTTTGGGGTTGAGCTCAGTGTCTCACTGGGTCTGTAAGAGTCTTCCTGAATTTTTGAGCAGGGAGGGGGGCTTTCTTTTCCTCCTTGGTCAAAATAGCATGGATATGAGGCTGGAACCACTGACCGCCATGATTACAGCACAAGAGGATGCAGGGCCTCCAAAAGGGAGCACAGATAACGGAAAAGAACTAGAAGAATCTACAAGTCCTAAGCTTTAGTCATTCCCAGCTATTAAGTTTCAGAACATATTCTATAACAGAATGTTCTTTCTTTTTTAGCTTGTTTGAATTATTAACTTTGCTTGTGTTGGATTTCTGTATGTTAGCTCTAATAAGAGTCTGACTAGCATAACAATATAAATCATAATCATTACTTTTTTTCCTTTGGTACCGGGGATTGAACTAACGACCTTGTGCTTGCCAGTTAGGTGCTTATACTGCCGAGCTAGCTCCTTGGCCCTAAGTCACGATTACATTGAAACAAGAAGGAAGACAGGGTTCCCTGGAACTGAGACTATTGCACATGCAGTCAATGTTCAAGATATTACATTAAAGAAGGGCCACACTGACAGCAGCATCTATCTTGTTCTCTCCCACAGCAATAATTGTTTACTGGACCCTGAAATAATGCTTAAACAATGAGGGAATGATGAAGATTAAACCTATATACTGAAGGTTCCAGAAATGACAGACTGACAGGTTTTTTTTTTTTTACCTTGAGCTGCTCAAGAAACTCACAGCAATACCGAAGAACAGACTTGATCTGTTTAATCCACAGGAGAGTGAGATCCTTGGACAGCGCTAGGGACACATACCACACCTATGAGCAGAGGAGGAGAAATGTGACAGCAGTTCTAAGGGTCCCACTACACATGGTCCCACTGCTGGAACAGGATCTACTAGCTAATGCCAGTGCCAGATAAGTTGGCGAGGGTGAATGGGTGAATAAACGGTAAGCAGGACTTATTTTAACATAAAAGCAAAAATAAATAAAATAAAATAAAATAAAAAGCCAAAGATAAAAGATTTTTTTTTGCGGAACCGGGGATTGAACTTGGGCCCTTGTGCTTGCCAGGGAAGTGCTTATTCTACTGAGCCATCTTCCCAGCCGATAAAAGATCTTGTAAGGGAATGTACAGTCCTGAGCAAGAGGCAAGAACAGAACACAGCTTCTTGGACAATGATGACCAAGGCATCATTTAAACTCTAAATGTTTCCCACCTATCCATGATTTGTACGTGTGACCCTCAAGGGCCTGGGGGAGACTCTGCAGCCCCTGAGCCACTTACCTTAGGCTCGTTCTCAGCCTCCATGCTGCTCAGGATGCAACGGCACAACTTCTCAAATCTCTGCAGGGGGAGAAAAGAGATCATGAATTCTCACAAGCAACCAAAAATTGAGAAGACAGGCACACAAATGCAGGCAGGCAACCTGCCAGGTAACTCACATATGTGTCTCACTCAGCTCCTCCCTCCAGATGTGGAAACTGAGGATCAGAAGAGCTAGAGACAGGCTCTCAAATGACTGGCCTCGAGGCTGGGTGGTCCCTACAGAGGTGTTTCAAAACATGTATTTCACATAAAAAACCAGAATGGAGGTTTCTTTTTGGTTGTTATTGTTTGTTTTTGCAGTGAACGCAGGGCCTCAACCATAGCAGGCAAGCACTACCACGAAGCTGCAGCCCCAGGAAAGTGGTGCTTTCTGAAAACTGAAATTACATCTGAAAAATCGGGTGTGGACTAGCAGCTGGCAGGCAGCTGTCTCCTGCTTGTGCCCTGTGGCCTGCCATTTCTACGCATCATGAACACTGACTTTTGCCTCACAGTCGTCAGCTAAAGGTTGTGTCAGCCCTTTTATCCTGCTGTGCAAAGATGAAGAAAGCAGAAACTGCAAAACAGGTTATACTTTGGCTGTACTGCTTCCAGATCCACTCCTAAAAATGAGATGGGTCTGCAATTTCCTAAAATAAGGCCTGAGCTTGTCTGCGCACGGCTGCCTGAGAGGGTATTTAATGCCCGTGCACTCCTCCCTCTCTGCCCTGCTAGGAGCTCTATAAAGGTAGAAAGCTGTGTCTCATGTCCTTTTGGAGCCTCAACAGCATCCTCAGTACTATTACAGATAATTATCTGCCTCTCTGAGACTGTATTTTCCAGGTCAATCATTCTCATCCTGAGGGTAGAAACTAGCTTGGCTTGCCATGTATAAAATAAAAGCAAAGCAAAACAAAAACAAATTCAAATTAGTTACTAACCTGTACAAATTAGAAGATCAAGTGTGAAGACCCAGATTTCCAGTGTTTTGTCTTTGTTTTGGCAGTACTGGGAATTGGACCCAGTGCCTTCACGATGAATTATACCCCCAGCCCTTTCCTCATTTTTCATTTTTAGTTTTGAGACAGAATCTAAGTCACTAAGTTGTCCAGAGTACGTTCATACTTGTGATCCTTTGGCCTCGGTCTCCCAGAATGGAAGGACTATAGGCATGAACCACTGCACACAGCTTGTCTCTATCAAAAATCAGTAAAAGTCCATCATGGGAAGGAACCTAGCATGGGCTTCCCTTTGGATAACAGGAAATAAACCTCACTATTCCTTTTAATGTTATTACCACTCCTAAAAATGAGATGGGTCTGCAATTTCCTAAAATAAGGCCTGAGCTTGCCTGACACGGCTGCCTGTCAGTCACTGTTTCTTGTGATTTCTACTTTCCACCACATTTTCTTTAATAAATGTATTGTTTTATTTGGCAGTACTGGGGACTGAATTCAGAACCTTCACACTGAGCAACATCCTCACCCCTTTTTAATTTTAAGACAGGGTCTGAATTGCAGTTGGGCTTGAACTCCTGCCTCAGCCTCCCAAGTGCTGGGGTGACAAGTATGTGCCACCACGTCTGGCTTCATATATGGTGCCTTTTACTCATACACCTAGGTTGCCTGGCTTCTGCACGCATCTGAGTCCAACTTGTGTTTGTAAACGTGTGAAAAGGTCTCCAGAGGCCATGGATATAATCTCTATAAAATAGGTTCCAAGAAAACAAAAGCAGTGGGAGGTGGGGTAAAGTACCGCAGAGAGCTGCTGCACAGACAAAGCGAGTTAATACTTACAAAATGCTTATAAAAAGCCCTGGCATAAAGATTTATATGCTTGACATCATTATTTACCTCATTATCCTCTTTAATTCTGAATATGAACAGCAGTTTCCTGGCAATCTTGAAAATACAAAGTGCACTTCTTTTACTGGACCCAGAGTCATCGCCTTTTAAAAACTCATCAATCTCTCTCCTAGCGAGGGAGAAGAGCAAAAACAAAGACATTTTAGGTTAGGAGCTCACAGCATCTGGAATCACTGCATGGGAAAGCAGTCTTTTTTTTGTTTTGTTTTGTTAGTTCGGAGCAAGAGAAAAATGTGCTGAGAAGGTCCAGGCACCCACCTGATGCCTCTATGCAGCTGGCGCCGACACAGGAAACTCCGGACATGTGCCTGAATCTCCACGGCCGCGCGCTCCCGCTCCTTCTGAACCAGCCTTTCTTCTCGTGCCTGTCGGGTTCTGTCGATAAACCACGCTCTCGAGGTCTGAGATACAGTGAACATGTTTGCAGACTCTGCAAGGAAAATGATGAGAAGCTGCTGCAGATGGCTGTATGAAAAACATGGAACCAGGCTCAAGCGCTAAGGGTGGGCAGGGACTGGGGCAGCGGCACAGATGTTCAGGACCTTCTAGCACCTTCCAAGGGGCTCTCAGCAGCCATGGCACAACCCAAACTCCTACCAGTTCCTTTCAGGCAAGTCACAATGATCAAGGATGCTATGTCCTGTACTAAATGATTGTATTTTCTTAAGAGAGAACATACACAGTGCCTGGTATAAAGTACTGGGAGGTTCTATATAAGTTTGATAAAGGAACAAAGCACAAATCAAGCCTGCCATGAAGTTCCAGTTCAGGGATACTCTAAGTCAAAGATTCACAGATGCCGTATTTGAATTTTCTGGACAAGACCACCATATTGGGGAACAATAAGCAGTAAACTATTTTGCCAAGAAAAGGCTTGAAGAAAGAAAGATCAAACATGATTATTTATTGTCACTATTAGTCATCCATTCACTCAACAAATGTTTACTGGCACTTAAGTTGTGCCCAACACACAAAAATGTCTTTTACTTTTCTTTTGAAGGGGCCACTTTAATATTATGAAGGCACACAGTTTCCAGGTGTGGCAGCATAAGCCTCCAATCCCAGCTGCTTGGGAGGCTAGGCAGAAGAGACTGGAAGTGTCTGAGGCCAACCTGAGTAACCCGAGACACAGGTAGCAAGACTGTCTCAAAGGAAAAAAATTTTAAAAGGGCTGGAGGTGTACGCAGTGGGAATGGTTACCTCACACGCATCAGGCTCGGAGTTCAATCCCTAGGACGGCAAGGGACATTTGGCCAGGTGGGGGACAGGATGGAAATGAACCTCAGAAATCCACTTCTGGAACTTCCTTTACTAAGTTAAGTTACTCAAAGCAGTACCTGTGATATGACAGCATCTAGAATAGTTTGTGCTAGGCATCTGCCACACGAACACATCTGGGAATGCTACCAAACACCACCAGGACTGCCAACATGTAAGTCCGTCACTGGCAATTTCTAAAACAGTAAGAGCGTGCCTAACCACAGGAGAATGAGAGGGCTGGAGGAAGAAAGGCAGCAGTCCTGAGACCTTCACTCTTCTGGTCCCAATCTGAAGACCTCACCTGACAACCCATCCATGCAGCAGAAACGGTAGGCTAATCACTAGTGATCTTGCATAGGACATGCAGTTGAGGACAGCTTCTCCCATCAAAGAAGTTGTTTTTGTTTTTTCTGACAGAAGCAGAAGAAAAAGACTTAAGATTTAATTCTACAGGTATGGCCTTGGGCATATTACCATTGAGAAGTATAAGTAACAAATACAGTGATTGAAGTTAAAAAAAAAAAAGAAAAGAAAAAAACTTAGGTTCTATTTCATGTCTCATTTAAATATCAACACTGTATCTCCCCAGTTCTTGAAATGTAAAGGGAATAGGCTGAAAATAGTTCCAAAAGAGTTGCTGGATTAAAAAAGCTTTATAGGCTCTGGGATGGCAAACAAAAGTAACTGTGGTGTTGAAACATTAAAAAGCCACTGAAAATTTTGACATCTTTTAAGGTTATGGAAAAATGTTCACACCCTTGATTGGAAAAAATGGCTGCCTGTGAAGCATACAATCCCAATTACCTGATAGAAAAAACAAACACGCAGGTAAGTATCAAACAGGGCTGAAATATGCCAACCTGTCAAGACTGGTTAAGTGTGACAGCCTTGGGTCAATTTATAGCACAACACACACAAAAAGTCATTGTTTTGAGGCAGTGTAAATTTACGGGAAATCTTTCTTGTTTCTATTTTCTAGAGCACATACGGTAATTGGCACAGCACAGCAGCGTGTGGGATTTGGAATCACACAGAACTGAAGCCAGTACTGTAGAAGCTAAGTCCTGGTCTTTACTTGTTAATCAGCTCAAAGGTCCACCATGGGAACTGAGGTGGGTATCAAACACTGAAATGTTTACAGACCACAGTCAGTAAGTCCAATAGGTGAGTTACTTTTATGGATAGATTGTTTTTTTATGTATTTGGTACAGGGTCTCACTACAAAGCTCAGACTCATAGTGATCCTCCTGTTTTCAGCCTCCCCAGCACTGGGATTACAGGAGTGTGCCACCATGCCCAGACTCGGTCACTGGCTCAGTGCGCCTAGGGGCAGGGCCGGTGCAGCATGCCATACCAGGGATTGAACCCTGGTCCTTGCGCTTGCCTAAGCAGGCACTTAGTCCCTTGATAGACTGGTTTTTAAAAACTCTTCTGCAGAAACTCCCAGCTGTAGTCACTAAGATTCTTTGGATGGAGGTAATGCCAGCTCCCTAAACTTCTTTACTCATTAAGTTTTTTTTCTATTCTCAAGTGACTCAAACCAGTCCAGGCACTTGGGTTATGACATCCTTGCCCTGGTCATAACAGCTTCAAGTTCCTGAGCAGTGCAAAGCAGCAGGGCCCAAGTCACGAGCACAACATATGATCTCCCTAAAACAAGTCCCTTATTGGTGGGAGAAGCAGGATGGGGTTTACAGGGATCAGAAGAGGGAGTTTCTTCTAAATGGAAAGACAAAAGGTTGCAGGCAAACTGTGCCTAGTTACCTGTAAGCCTATCTCTCAAAAACTTTCAGTTCTCTCAGGGGACCTCAGAAGGTAATATCGCTTGAGATTATCATCCTCCCAACAACATCACATGTTGCTTTCTGTTTACATAGTCCATGTAGTTTTTCTTTTTCCTATAGAATTCCTCTACTTGCGTAACACGCACTACAGCTCATTAAATAAAATACACAATCAAATACCAGGTATTTATTCTGCTAAACATTATGGCACATAAAAGACTGTAACAGAAAAGGACTTGGACTGAAATGACTGGCCCATTTCTCTTCAGTCCTCTCATTTTGCCAATTTACTCATATATGTTTACATACATTACAATTATACACAAAATACAACGTTAGACCATTAACGAGTGGCAGGGTTATGATTTTAACACTGACAGGATTTAAACTCTGTACTACCTCTATATGCCTGTGACACCTACTCAAAATCTGTGTTTTCTGGAGCAGGCCAACTTAATGGAGAATTACAAAAACCTACGTCAGTGTACAGTATGGTCCCAGGGTTAAGTACCAGAAGTATTAACTACTGAACGGTTTTTTTTTCTGTATGTCGAGAAAAATTGCCAGCTTATGACCACAAAAATTTGTTTCAGACTATGTACCAGCCACTGTATAGATATTTAACTAATCCTGTTTTTTTCAACAGCTCTATCTTGTTAGTAACTTTTTTTTTTAAACTCAGGAATACACAACAGGGCTCAGAAAGCCATTAATATTAGTTATCACCTATTGAAAGCTACATTCTATCTAGGTGGGTGCTAGTGTCAATTCCATCTTCAGCGAGGAAAACGCAACATAGAGGGGACAGATTCTAAATTTGAATCCAAAGCAGTAACCTAGTGGCAAGTATACCACACAATATCTAGGACAACTTCACAGAAAGGCAAAGCGAAAAGAAGAACGCAAGGCTGCCCATGGGGCTAGGTCCAAGTCAAATTATGACTGTGATTTCTTTAGTAAGGAGCCGAGTTTTAGGTATGGTAGGTACAAAACGTACTATAAAACACTGTCTAGGAAACAAACCAATTACTGCACTTACAGAGGCGGAAAATGAGGGTCAGACAGGGTAGTAGACTCACCCAGGGTCACAAAACAAGCGAATATAAATAGAACTCCTGTTTCAGTGGCTCCTGAGGCTCAGCATCAACAACCAGCACCACAAATTCTTTTCGCCCAATATTAGTTCATTCATGAAAGGTTATTGCCTCAAAGAACAGAAGAGGTGGAAAGAGCCTAGGCGGACGAAAGCCAGTCCACAGACAGAACCTGCACCTCCAGACTCGGCTCCACAACCACCTCCCTCGATGTCCCCAGCCCCACCCAGAGTACAAGAAGACCCTTGTTCCCATTCGCTACCCGCAGGCTGTAGACCTTTATCCATTCGAGGCCCCGCGCTCGGGGTCCGGGCTGCAACTCCCACCGCCTCAGCCCAGTCTCCCCGACTTCTGCCAGACCCGGGGCATCAGCCAAAGACCCACCGCCATCTTGCCCCGGGGTGTTCGCTCTTCAAGATCCGCTGGGAAGCAAGTATCCGGTTCCGGGAAACAAAAGTTCCGCAGAGCTTATTTGCCCACGAAGGAAAACCTCCTAACGCCTGTCTTCTTCTCTGGAAGGTCACAAACCTGCACATTTAGGAGTAGGATAAATGCCTGACTCATCCGAGAGGATACAGAACCCATCCTGGAAGGGGAGGATAGAAAAGAAGCGGTAATATCTGAGACCACATCGGACACTTTAGGAAGACGTCCTCTGCGAGGCGGAAGTGGGATGAGACAGCGGAAGTTTCCGCCCCTGTCCCGCCTCCGCCCCCGGCTCTTGTAAACTGGGTGTTTCCTGCCGCTCGCAGTCCGGATTTGGCGACTCCGGCGTCCTCCGACTTTTCATGGTAAGGAGGGCGGTGTCCCCGATTTGGGGTCTCTCAGCGACGGAGGGGGCCGGGCAGCGACAAAGTAGAGAAAGAAAGGACCGAAGGGAGGGGGTGGAATGAGAACCGGTCGCGGTAGTTGGAGAGGCGGTTTGGGGGCTTGGGTGGGGGCGGGGTGGGGGAGGGGCAGAGGGTTGCGCTTTGGAGGGTCCCTGGCTGTTGAGGATCTGGGCTAGTGCTTTGGGATTGGGGCATGGATGTGTGTGTGGGTGAGTGGAGGGTCTCTTGAATCCTGAGTGCTTGTTTGAAGTGGAAGTGCAGATTGTGAGAACAAAGAGATGTCATTGAAAACACATTTGGGGTGGAAAATGAAAATTTGGGGGATTGTTAAAGGATGATAGTAGGTTGTGAAAAGAGCAAAGCGGCAATTCTTGGAGAGAGCGTTTGGTACCTCGTAGGGTGTCGAAAGCGTCCCTGGGTTCTAGGGAAGGGGCCGTCAGGTTTCCCTGAACACATAAGGAAGAGGGAACCGGCAGGCCAGCGTGTGTTCAGTGCTTGGAATTCCGGGGAACAGTGCTAGGGGTCTGAGGTCAGGGTACCTTTGCCACGCATCCACCCCCAGCTGGTGCCTTAGGTACTCAAATAGTCACTTCCGCGGAGGTCTTAGGTGGCCACACCTCAGGAACGGAGGTTGTCTCACGTTGCTGTCTCAGCTGTGAGGAGGTTTCTGTTTACTTGGGATCCTCAAGGGTCAGTTCCTTGAATCGCTCTTTGTTCCTGGGTGGCAATGACCAACGATTAGCCCAGATCATTTTCCCTTGTTTACGTTTGTCGCTTCCCTAGAAAGTGCAGTCATTAGGGAAGACTAGTTGTAATCTAAAGAAAAATGAGTCCACCTGTACTTGATTTTGACTGATTTGCTTCATTTTGTGCAAAATAAATACACCACTGAAGGAGAAGGCTATCTAAATCAGTGGTTCTCAAACTGGCCACTAGGCCGGAAGCAACTTCACCTGGGAACTTGTTAGAACTCGGCCCAGACTTCAAGCCCCAGCACAACGTGAGTATGGCATCATGCAAGCTAGTTAGAGGAAGGATTGCTTGATTTGGGCTATGAAATGAAAGGGGCATACAGAGTGGAGACAGACTTACAGTTTTTACGGTATTGACTCCTAGTTTTCTTTCTCTGAAAGTGAGATTGATGATAATATCTCACTCATTAGATCACTGAGAGAAATAGGCTAATGTTTGTATGCTAATCCGGGCCAGAACGTTAATTTTGTTGGTTGCATTGGGGTTGTCACTAGCAGTTTTATAAGGAAGTCCTGGATCCTGGATCCAAAGTAATGTTACAGTTGTGTGACTGATTCAGTTTTTTGATTGAAACAGAACAGCAGACTTTTGAGTTGTGGACAAGCTCACAATTTGGGAGGTGATTTTTTGCATAGTTTCTTTTTTTTAATTTTTAATTTTTTTTATTTTTTGGCGGAACTGGGGATTGATCTCAGGCCCTTGTGTTTACCAGGCAAGTGCTTATTCTACTGAGCTCTCTCCCTGGCCCCTTTGCTTAGTATCAACATAGTGTTTTTTAAACTTCCTTGCTGTAAGAGTCCCCAACCTCATGATTTTTTTAGTACATATCCCTATGATTCTTAAATCAAGTTAATTTGGGGCTGGCCAGCTAGCTCAGTTTAGGCAGATGCAGGGACTGGGGATTTAATCCCTGGGCCAGGGTGCACTGGGACAGATTGAGACTGGGTGTGGTGGTGCACGCCTGTAATTCCAGCACTTGGGAGGCTGTAAGCAGGAGGATCACTATGAGTCTGATCTATGTAGTGAGACCCTGTAGACCCTGCACTTAAAAGAAAAAAAAAAAGTTAATTAAAGAAACAGTCCAGTGATGCTGAGTCCTGAGTCCTGGAAGCATATCTGAATATTCTGAAGTGACTTTTTTTGGGAGGGGGCCAGCTCAGCCCACCCTGAAGGCAGGGCTGTTGTAGCATGTGGTGCCAAGGAACAAATGGCAGTCCCCTGCACCTGCCTGAGCTTGCCTAAGCAGGTGCTTTAGACTGCTGAGTTATCTCACAGGCCCTCTGAAGTGATTTTTTTTTGGCAGAACTGGGGTATTGAGCTCGGACCCTTGCACTTGCCAGGGAAGTGCTTATTCTACTGAGCCATCTCCCCGCCCCTAAAATTACTAGGGAATTTTTTTTTTTTTTTTGCAGAACCGGGGATTGAACTCAGTCCCTTGCGCTTGCCAGGGAAGTGCTTAGTCTACATAGCCCAGGTGATTTTGGTGGTTAGGATTGGGAGTAGCAGGTCTCAAATCTTGAAGGATAGAAGGAAAACCAATTACTGGGTGCCAAGTGCTTTAACATTCATTCTTTGAGGATTTTTTGAAGATTCCAGCTTTAACACTCCATTTTACAAATTAATAGACTAAGTTTCTGGTGAAGTCACTCTTCTGAAAATCAAGACATGGGGAATGGGGATTGCAGGCTAGGTTCGCCAGGCCCAGTCTAGCATCTCTCCACATGTGTCCACATGCATACATGAGGCAGTGCTGTGAGGATCTTTACTGTGTTTAATCTAGATCTCTGTTGAAGTCAAAAACTTTTCCATTTAAAATCTTTTTTTTTTCCTGCAGAATCAGGTATTGAACTCAGGCCCTTGCACTTGCCAGGCAAGCGCTTATTCTACTGAGCCATCTCCCAGCCCCAAAAGGGTTATAACTCTTATTTGTGCTCTTTTTAATTCTTTGGTACCAGGGATTGAACTTAGGACCTTGTGCTTGCCAGGCAGGCACTTATGCTGCTGAGCTGTGACCCCAGACAAGAATTTTTCCATTTAGCTGGTTTTATTTTTTTCAGCATCTGTACAGTTGCCTCTAGCCTATGACTCTAAAGCTATGAAGCAGAGGGTTGCTTTTATTTATGGTTTGTTTTTATGAGTAGGTTAGGAATTCACTGGGCCAGCAGAGCAAAAGGTAGGAGAGATTCTCTAAGACCATGGAGTTAATTATAGCCTAACTGAGGAGTATAAGACTTTTAAGGACAGTGGTTTGCAGTCTTGGTTATGTATTAGAGGTACCTGGAAGATTTTTTTTTTTTTTTCTTTTGAGACAGAGTCTGACTGTGTAGCTTAGGCTGTCCTCAAAATCACAGTTCTCTGGGTTCAGCCTCCTAAGTGCTGAGATTACAGATATGGGGAGAGTTTTAAATCCTTGTACCTCAGCTACACCCTGAGACCAATGACCTCAGAATTCCTCTGAATATAACTCAGATATTAGTATTTTTTCAGCTCCCCCAGTGAGTACAGTGTATGACCAGGAAGAGGGCCATTACTTGGAATCTGCAACAGTGTATTTGGGCAAATGGGAAGACGGGGACATGGGTTTACCTTATTAACTCAAATAAATTTTTGATGGAATAGAATCCAAAACCAGTATCTCAGGTGTTATTTCTCTGATTCTTGTAAACAGTTTTGCTCTCTCCTGCACTACCTCCCCAACCTTATTAATAAGGTAAACTTCTGAAAGGAATAAAACAACAGAATCCCTGTAGAGATGGCAAAGAGAGGCCTCAGTAGAGAAGTCTGCTGTGAGAAGTTTATTACCTACTGCTTGGTGTCTTCACTCCTTGTAACCCAGGCCTGAGAGCATGAACATGGCCAGAGGTTCTCCCTAAGGGCTTTCTGGGTATTGGGCGCCAGACCTTGGGAGGCATGGGCTGTGGGAAGCTTTAGGGCTTTCATTGCCTAACCTGGAGTCTTGGGTTTCTGTCTCTGTAGTTCAAGTTGGCATTAGAGCTGGAAACAGTCTCCAAGAGGAGATGCTTTAAGACTATGAGAACATTCCCAGATGATCATAATTTGAGTGTTTCATATTTGAGCCAGGGCTGATGCTGGGTGCTGTCTGTGGCCTCCATCATAGCTGGGGGTTGGCAGTGGCTGTTGTCCTCATTTGAATGATGGGAATAGATTCATATGTGGCAGGGGTTGGGCCTTAAATGCCCATCTGAGACTCTGTCCTGAGTCCTTAAACATACATTGCTTCCCATATTTTTACTTTTTTTTTTTTTAAAGGGGGAAGGAGGGGACTTTGCGCTCTCAGTTTATGTGTCATAGCTCTAAGTACGCCAAGCCTGAGGGGCTCCAGGCCAGGACTTGTCCATGTTTTTTCGCTTGCTTGTCACTGACTCACCTTTGTTCTCAACTTTGACTCACTTCTTGTCTGATCCTCTGAGCCATGGAATCTAAATCCATGAAATGAGAATAATGATAGCTGTCTTCCAGCATTGTTTGGATTTCAGCAAGTCACATGTGATGGTAAAAGTTAATGAGGAAGGGGCATGGAGGGACTGTCTAGAGTCCTGAAGTATTCTGTCTTGGTTGGAGTAGGATACACGAATAGTTCAAAATTCATCCATTGTGCACTTAAAATATACGTCATCATATGCAAATTATTTTCTTCTGAACCCCGCAAAAGTACACGTACTTTATGTCTTGTCTATCTTGTGGTAGTTGCCTTAGAAGATGGCAAGTCATTTCTCATAGACATCTTATTGTGTAACTTTACATCTGAAAAGGATGCAAGAAAAGCATTTTCTTTTTTTAAAATTTATTTGTGTGTGTGTGTGTGTGTG